GTTGAAAAAATGCTTTAAAACATCTTGTCCACAAGAGGGCAGCAGTTGGCCTGAAAAAAGTTCACCTCAAAGCACAAGTAAGTCTTGATCCTCCTGGAAAAAAGTAAATTATGTAACCGGTATTTGCCTGGACACAGGAAAAGTAAAATATATCATGATTTGACAGATAAGCTTTATACGATAGCATATATAATCTGAAAGAAAGGACATGTTGGTAAATGAAATCATCTTAAGTCTAGTCAATATTTCATTTTTATATTGTAAGAATATTAATGATTGGTTAAATAATCTTACAACAATCTCATATTGAGAAATATTAAATATTTTCACTAGCTTTAAGATGTTTTCACTTGAGAAAATATCATTTTTTTCAATTTATGGTTATACTGGTGCTTTATGCACATTGTTGTTTCCCTTAGACAAAATAAGAACTGAAGCTTTTTTTTGCATGTTTATGCTCACAGTGAATTTTCCTCTATGTCTCCCTGGCTGTGAGGCCCCGAAGGCCTTGGACAGATTCCACTTTGACATAAATCAAGGCTATTTTCTATCATCAGCTGGTGGCCTGCGTCTTGGGGAATTTGTTGCTTGACTTGGCTTGTACAAAGCTATGAGTGGCTAATAAGTGTCAGGAAGGACAATGAAGTTTAGTCAAAACTTGAACGTATAGAAAACACTTGTTTATGTGAAAATACCATTAACAAATTATGACATTTGCCATTCAGTGTCATAACAGAGTCATTGTAAATGTATGTTAAACTACATGTTTGAACATCAACACAAAAATGGACATTTCTGACAACAGCATGAAATCATTTGACACAATTAGCGTACCGTCTCTGTCCAAAGAAAAACATGTGTCTCCCAAATAGTAACTTTACAGAAGAAGTCAAAAACAGTCTTTTTACGTATAATGTATGTTAATGTAAAGTAGTGTTTTTCTAAGTAATCCTGAAGCATTTCTATTGGTCCATTCATTATGAAATTGTTGCACAGGGTAAAGGATAGCCCCAGTGTTCAAATAATGGGAGAAAAATAAAAAATGCAAAAATTTATTTAGTATTTTTTTAGACAGCGATGATATACATTGTGCCTTTTTGTGTTGGAATTAATGAGAAATGCAATAAACGTGTAATATAGAATATGATGCATACATACTGACATCTCTAACTGCAGTCTCCTCCCTCGGAAAGTGTGATATTGTTCTTGGCTGCAGATGGCCCATTGTTTTCAAGCAGTGGCACTGTGAAAGGCACAGAACTAATGAGACAACACTGGTGAAATGTAAAATGTCTGCATTCAACAAAATGCCTTGTACACAAGGCTGTTACATGAAATATAAAATGAGATAAGTAAATATGCTACAGTTAAGTGCTTCGGGCATTTCTTTTCCCCAAAGGGGTCGTTCCAAGAGAGCGCTAAAAGACGGTTGGTTTAACGCCTCATTGCTGCTTGCTGATGCATGCATTATTGATCCTGAGAGCACTGTTCCAAAACTTCACGGAGAAGAATGTGTTTAACTGGCAAAGCCAACTCAGTGACTAAAGCTGGCAGAAATAAAGATCACATCAAAACTCCCATGCGTTGAAAACAGTCCAAATAATGCACTCAGCTCTCCCTCTGCTGTTTTGTTTTGATGAATTAAAGGGCCATATTGGCCTGCCCCGAGGGCAGACTCACACAGTACAAGCTACGCTGTCTACAGCAGGGAGGGGACACAGGCCTAGCTGGAGTCTGCTGTTGTGGCTGACCTGGCTATGGGGAGTATATTTCAGATTTAAGGATTATGTTGTTTAAGCAGACTCAACAGAGATTATGTTATTTAGACAGACTACTTTAGACTAATCTGTTTTAATAGACTTTTCCTCATCTGAAAAAAAGAGAGAGACAGCTTTGTGATCAGTGGCATCAAAGTGCACAACAGATCTGAATGACAGTGAAGAGATTAATCAGTTGACATAAGAGCATTTGGTCATTTGTCACTGTGGACTTTTTTCATTATATTAGCTAGGGCTAATCTAATGAAAACAAGACGAATAAGCTGTAATCATATGGTTTTTTGAAGAAGCAGTTTTAGGCTACACACTAGCCATTCATCTTTGAGGGTTTTGGGGGGGGGGGTAAACACCTCAGATTAAGAGAGGTGTTCTGGCCTAAAACTAGATTATACATATATGTGTATATGGTATATATATTACTCTTAGCTCAGTTGTGGAACAAAATCACATAAACAGCAGTTCTATCAGCAGTTCTATCTTTATTCAGCACAAAATAAATGCCAGCGATACATTTTTACCCTTTCAGCCAGAGAAAAACAGTCAAATTGAGGTAAAGTATCTAGATAGCCAGCCACCTTGCTAACTTTAGCTTTGTCCTCATTTTAGGAGTCTTTCTTCATTTGAGTAATCCATTTCTCTATTGTAGAGATTTAAAGACAGTTACCGTTTCTATAACATTTCAAAACAGCCCACTCCCAAATATCTACCCCAAAGCAGTTTTTAAAAACTTTCAGTCAGTCTAGAACCCATGTGTCAAACACAAGGTCCGCGGGCCAGATCAGGCCCGCCACACAATCGTATCCGGCCCGCAAAAGTATTTTAATTTTCTATATTAGCCCCTTTCACAATGTGCTGCACTACAGTCCCCAGCATGCACTGCAACATAATGTGCTCTGACTCTCCTACCCCAACAACAATCTATGGGACAGCAGTTACACCTCAGTTCTACACAATTCTACACAGTTCCACACCAGTCATTTCACTAAAATGCATTTCAGCTGCAGTTCAACCAATATAAACACTGAACATCAGCTCAACAGCTCGGAAACTGAGCCCAGGTCTTAATGAACTTGCAGCAAACTTGCTTGCAAAGAAAGGATGCCAGGTGTTTAGTTCAAGCAGATAGGCAGGTCTAAAAGACTGAGCACCTGGAGACATTTAAATTTAGAATATTTCAAGTGTCCATGTAATATTTCAAGGTCTACTACAAATGTCTGTATTTTACTGTTGAAGTTTTGCATATTTTGAATAAACAATGGCCAGTTTGGGTTACAGCACAACATTAATTAAAAATGAAATAAAACATGTTGTCTTTGGACAACAGATTTGATGAGATTTTTTCAATATGGCCCTATATCTTTTAGTTACAACTACTTCTGCAGGAGAATGAGAGGAAACGCGTTTATAACTGACGTAGAAATGTGTAATTATTAATTTTGTCTAGAGCGTCCCTTTAAGCCACCATACTCTAGTTTATTTATTTGTTTATTTATTTTATTTAACTAATGGAGGGAAATATATATACACATATCAGGGCCTTTACAAAAAAAAATCAAACATACTAGCTAACAAAGTCATTGTATACGTTCAGCAATTCCAAGAAGAACCATACAATGCAAAGCAGACATATAATGATGAAATCCAGCACTGAAAGAGACAGACTGGTCGTTCCTCTCTCTACATTTACAGAAAAAAAAAAAATATGTACATAAGAATAACAGTGCTAACGGACATATTAATACCAAGCTCGCAAGAATGATAAAAAATAAGTTGTCTTCCCTTGCACTGTTGGTGAAATATGTAATACTTCAGCAGTATTACATCTTTTCTATTGTGAAAACTTTGTTAAATTAATGTTATGGCTTTACAGTCAAGGCTAGTTTATTTTATTTTATTAAAAAAAAAACAAAACAAAAAAAAAAACAAGTGGAAAACACATTTCCAGTCAACAGGCTGAGCTCAGGAAGCTGGCTGACTCTCGAGCTGACTCAGGCAGTAGCTGCTAATGCCGGCCTTACACCAAACGACTTTTCAAGCGATTTCACTGTTACCCAAATTACCCATATCGGAATAAAATCACGAGAGTGTTGTTAGAGTCGCGTCGCGCTATCTCGATCGTTTGGTATAAGGTGGTCAAGATGGAGGTCTTAAGTCAGTCTTCTTCTCGTCTTGACGCTGCGACAAAATCAACGGTGTTTAATATTATCGTAAGGTTTAAGTCTTGGCTCATGCAAATAGTGACGCGCCAGGGGCGCGCGTGAGTGCTTGCGGGCGAGCGCAGGGGCGCAGCACGAGAGAGAGAGAGAGAGAGAGAGAGAGAAAGAGAGAGAGAGAGAAATCTCTGTAAAAAACGGCAATTCAATACAATAATCACATTAACTTCAAATGTAAACTGACTGTTTTAATATTTCATGTTCACTGAGTCTGTAACACGTAAGGAAACGTGCAGAGGACTTTAAGAACGCCATTATTGAAGAATCAATTGTTTTCTATTTTTTTCTGTTTTCTGTTACACTGGTTTCTTATTTTGTTTGTTTGTTTCTCATGGTTTAGTTCATGACACCCAGTCGACGATGCTGAATCGCTGCATGTTGTGTTGATGTGTAAATCTTTATATCAAATTTAAAAAGTAACTGCATTTTTCAGGTTAATTAAAGATTCTGGGTGATGATCTGCCAGAGTATACAGTCCTACAGTGAACTAATCTGAGCCCCAGATCTTTACACGCCCAGCCAACGTATCCTCCCATCTGTACCACTATAGATTGGAAGGAAAAGTGTTTATCTGCTTGTAAATTCCCACCAGGTGCATGATGGGGTAATAATCTCAGAAATCTAGTTTCAGTCTTGTAAATAGTGACACTGCAAAATCATATTCTGTGACTAAAAACCGCGACACTGTCTTTAGATGTGAGAGGGTGTCAGACTTTAGTCTTTCAAAAGTCTTTTCAAAGTCTTCCAGTGTACGGTTAGCATTAGCTCACCTCAGCCACCGGCTGATTTATGTAGCTAAGAAAGACGAGGCTAATAGTACCAGCACACAAAACACGACGCCAGTACTCAAGACACAAATATCACGTCCGAACGTCTTCAGAGTTTACTTTTCTACCTCTGACTTGGGGTTTTAGCTGAGCTAGCTGTGTTTAGCTCTCCTTGCTGTTGAGCCGGTAACTCGTTGCTATAGGAACCGTCTGTGGACAGCAGTAGCCACTGACACGGAGTTATGGAGCTAATCCGGAGAGGAGAAAGCAAAGCTGTGGATGAAGAGGATTTTTCGCAGGAGATTGAGGAGATTGCAGGGTATGTCTCATTTTAGGTGCGAATGTGAGAACTTCAATTAAGATAGATTAGCCTAACCGTTGTTTTAGCCAGAAATCTTTTAGTATTTAACGTTATTGCATAATATGATGCTACACTGACAGTTGGGTCTAATGAAGCACGGCCTGAAAACCACTTACATAAAACAGTTTCGCCAGCTTTTCTGTCTAAAGCATGCAGAAAATGAAGGAAACGAACGTGTCCTTGTTTCCCCATCACTTGTAATGTGAAACAATGTACCCCCAGTTTTTAGCCCAGAACAGAAATCTTGCAGCCTGCATCTCTTCTCTGTGTTATGCTGATGTCCCCTGCCCCTGCTGACCCTGTTATTGTGAGCATTAAGTGTGGACAATCTGGCCTGTAGCCTTCTCTGTGTCACTACCCTCCTTCTCCTCTTTAGGTATTCACTGGGGAATCAGCTGAGGGCAGGCTTCTTTGGTCAAGATGCCAGTGTCCAGACGGATGTGTCCGAACTGCCGTTGGTCAAATGTCTCTCAGATGAAACTGCGCAACTTGTGAAGGTAGACGGTGATATTGACCTCATTAAGGTTCAAGACTCTAGGTCTCTTTTTCCTTGCTGTTTCACTCCTGAAGGGACAGACATTTGTAGGCAGTGAAAACACAAGAGATTACATTATTTTACACACCTAAAAAGATGGTTCTTCTAGTAAAGGCAGTGGTTCTTTTTAGAACCGTATAGATCATGCTTCAGTAGTTCGTTGCATGGTGAAATGGTTCCTCAGATTGATGGACAATGTGTTGTGTATAATTTTATATGGAAATTTTTTGATATATGGCCCCAAAAGGGTTCTTCTGTTTTTTGCAAGGCTGACATTGTAACAACAGGAAAACATTTTTGGTGCTATATAGAATTATTGTCTTTACTAAAAATCCCTTAAAGAACCATCTTTTTAAGCATGGACATTATACAATTATGCAGCAGAGCAATCCCATTGAATGGTGTCAAGGGACAGTCTGTGTGAAATATTTAAAAACAAATAAAACAGCTACTTCAATTAAAAAGACATAAACATGAGAGATAGATGTTTATCTATTGTTTGTAGTCAGTGAAGATCAGTACTGGACATTTACACCAATTGCAGAGAGCCAGCATTCAACAACCAGCCGGTAGTGTCACCCTGTCATTAAAAGTGTGGAGTAATAATTGACTGATTGGATTTCAGCCTATTTTGCAATTATTTTAGGATGTGTTTTTAGTAATTGTTTGATTTTTCCTTCTGTTTCTTACTACTTTAATGAATTTAGCCTTTTTTTCATTACAATTTATTATTGTTTTATAATCCAATATTCAGACTCCTTAAATGGGAATTCCACCACTTGTTTAAAAATTCTGCATAATTAAGTCATCCAGCATGGCTTGGTGCATTGAGTAAAGATTTATGAACTGTGATAAGAGCGAGGAGTCCCAATGTCTACAGAGAATACAAGAATATAGCCATTTTATTTAATATCCAAAGTGAACCTACATGTCTTTTAATAATATTCGTCTTTTAATAATATGTAATATTGATCATAGTAAAACAGTGTTGAAAACATTTTCTTTGAAAACTGTTTTGCTCTGAAAAATACTTTTAAGGCCACAACTTTCTCAGAACTACCATAAAGCACTGTCCCAAGCATTGGACAGCATATTCATATCTATTTCATGTTATAACTCTCTGTGGGAGCTTTTAGAGGCATTAAATGCTTCGAATGTCTGATTCCTGTCACCACCACTGTAGAACATTCTGATTCGACTAGGTTTTTTAGAAAGGTGCATTTCACATTAACCACTCTCAAAGATTTTGTGTACATTTTAATGGTGTAATTTGGTAAAAATTTTTGAAAAATTGGTGGAATTCCCCTTTATTAGAGTGTAAGAGTTCCCAAATATTACAGTATGACATATAATATTGTAAGTGTGTGACCTAATACCTAATATTATAATCTTATGTGTGCACAATACATAACCATAAATCAAGACTGCTACGAAGCAGTAGCTCTATTTGAATGCAGGCTCGCCTCCGTATTTAGATGAGGCCGCTGAATGTTGACACTGAGTGTCATTGCATTCCGTTGGATTTGCTTCGCAAGTTCATTCATGCTGCCAGCCTTTCATCCCGTTTGCTGGAGGATTCCTCTGTCTGTATTGGTGAGTGGCTGGTCTGTGGGCTGCCCTGGGACGCCTGCTGAGAGGGCATATGGTGGCTTTGTGCCCCAGAAGAGCGCCTGAAGCAGCCGCGTTCATCACTGCTCCTGCCCGCAGAGTTAAACAAATTGATTGGCAGGCTTGCAGCTGAATGAGGGCCTTCTTACACACATAATGCCTCATGTTTATGCTCACGTTTATGTTTAGGCAGCACTGAGAGTGCATGGTGATGATTTAGCCTTGTTTTCTGTCTCTAGGGCTGCGCAGTATGGTCAATCACAAGCATTGTGACGATATTGTTACATATCACAGTTGCGATATATTAAAGCGCATTAGGGAATCAATAATGTGGCATGTTTTCAGATTGACTTCTTCATTTCTTGGATAGGAAATGCTCAGCTGCAGTTGTGATTAGTCAGTATGATCACAATATTTTTTGACAAAAGATTGTGATTGGTTAGAGGCTTCATTTGCATATTGCTGCAATTTGATATCAGAGTTGCAAAGGCCAGCATCACAACATTATTTAACAACCAGTATATTGTGCAGCCCTAGTTTGTATAAGAAATTAGTGCCAAATATCAGTTTCTGCTTTTGTATGTGTATTAAATCAGCTCTGTAGCGTTTCATGCATTTTTATATTATATTGTTATATTTTAGCTTCATTTTAAGAGTTTTTTTTTACTCATGTTCTTATTAATTTTTTTATTACGTGTTTCCTGTTAGGAGATGGAGACTCTGAAGAAAGAGACTGCAGTGAAAGTGAAGTTTATTGAGGCCCAGTATGAGTCCAGGCTGCAGCAAGAGGCAGAGGCTTTCTACACCAGAATTAATTACAAAGTCAAAGCTTTTGAGAACCACCACAAAGAGGTTTGCTCTGCACACTGCTGCTGTCTGAGTGTAATTAAGTGATTATGAAGTAATTAAAAGGGCATGAAAGTCCACGTTTGCCCCATTTGTTGCTTGATTGTTTTTAGATCTGATGTCTGTCCTTTTGTTTAGAAAATAACTGTCCTGCGAAACAGCTTTCAACAGCAGTTCGCCAATGCAGTAGAAGTTATCAAAGCCAGCTATAAGGTAAATAAAAGCATATGAAATCATTTAAAGTGCTTATATCATAGACTTTTTGAAATAAAGGAAATCTAACATGAAAGTTTGTTAAAGTTTCAAAATGTACCATTTACTCCCCAGTCTGTCCAGTCCGTATATGGAGACTAACTGCAAAAACAGCCTGATTGAGATCATTGTTTTTGTGATGTCACAAAAACTAGCACTTTTGTATATTTCCTTTTATTCAGCCTACAGCAGTTTACACTGAAGTTAGAAAGAGTGTTTTAGCTCAGACTGCATTCTGAATGAGGCACAATGCAAAGCAGCCAATCAGAACAGAGATCATTTACATATAGCAGTCTTAAAGGCAAAGTAACAAAAACACCCTGTGTAGTTCTTAGGGATAAAGAGAGATCATGTAAAAATGAATTATGCATTTTTGTATATACGCATGTATGTTATGTATTCGGGACATAAACCTCAAATATTAAATATCATCATATCATGTGGGCCCCTTAATGTATTTCATGCTAATTAAGCTATCATCATTAACTCTGAAACCTTTCCTGGAACGTGTTTCGGCCCGCCTCTCTCACTGTGTTTTTATTTAAATTATAGAACTACAGCATGGAGAAAAGCGAGGTCACCTCCAGCGACACAGGACGAGTTCAAGACCTTTTGAATGAGCTCCAGGAGAAGGACTTTAAAATCATGTGCCTGAGAGAGCAGCTGAGGGAGAATGAGGAGGTACACATGCAGTATTCATAGGCAGAGCTGGGTGGTAACAAACTATGTGTAATCTGGATCATATAATCTGATTACAAAAACATGGTCTTTGTAATCAGAGCAGGGTACTGTGGAAAATATACATAATCAGATTACAGTTGCTTTTTTAAGGATTATACCTTTGATTGAGCAACATCAATAAATCAATGTATGAATTTTTCTATTTCTATAATTGTTTAATTTAGTGCCCATAAATCTATATAACAGCTGTGTCACTGTGACTGATAGCCTAATAATGGTTTTGTGTGATTTTGGGAGAAAAAAGAAGGTCATATTTGGGCTGGATTAAACTTTGAACAGACAAGATGGGAGTCTTGAGCATTTGACCGCTTTACGTTTTAAGAGGCAAAGTGGAAAAAATACAAACAATAAGTAGTCCAAAAGTAATCCAAAAATATTCAGATTAGATTGTACCTGTATATCTGTATATAAAAGGTTCTATATAAAACCATCTACAGCACATTCATGCACATTTTCTATCAATCTAAAGAGCCCTTCAATGATGTAAAGAACCCTTTAATCATGCAAAAGATTCTTTGAGTGTTCATGGCTCTAAATAGACCCATTTTCTTAACTAAAGAACCCTTAAAGCACCATCTTTTTAAAGAGTGTACTGGATTATGTTTCTTAAATAATCTATTCAACACTGTTCATGTCATAGAAAACTGTGCTACAGTCCAAGTTATTTATTTTTCAGTGTCAAGGAAAAAACAGAAAACACATATTTAACGGAAAATTGCACAGAAGCCACAATAACTGAATATAATATCATTTTTCAGTAATAACTATGTCCTTCATTTGCCTTTATTACAGACTCTATTCTTTTTTCACATATTTTTCCACACCTCTAAAGTTCAGTCTTAGAAGTTGGTAGCATTTTGTGCTTCTTACAATCAGTATAAACCCTAACACATCCAGTGATGTTGAGGTCTGGACTCTGTGAGGGTCAGTCCATTGTTCTGAGAACACCAGCAGCTTCTTTGTTTTATTTGCAAATTTTATTCTTTTTATTTTTTCGTTTTCTCAGTAAGAGCTTCTTGACAGCTAAACATCCTTTCAGACTCATAGCGCTGAGTCGTCTTCTCACAGTGGAAGGATGGACAGAAACACCTGTGGATGTTTTCAGATCTGAAGCAGCTTGATTTTCTCCTCTCTCTCAAAGATGAAAGCTGTAAGTACTGTTTATTTTATGGGGGCAGGTTTGTTGGTCTACCTGGTCTTGCATGATTGTTGTGTTCCACTCAAGAAGGTGTTACTGAGAAAAGGACAAAAATTATGAAAATTTGCAAATCAAGCAAAGAAGCTGCTGGTGTTCTCATAACAATGGACTGACCACCACAGAGTCCAGACCTCAACATCATTAAACGTGTTTGGTATTACTCCGGTTGGGAGAAGTAGGCCTGGGCAATATCTACACATTATAACCAGAATATTTTCTAGTTAAAAATCGTGATTATCGATAACTTAATGTGTACTGAAAATACTGCACACTGGCCATAGACGAGGATCAGAGGAACTTTCTCTCCAGGTTAGAGTTATCTTAGCTGCTTTACGCTAACATTCAGCAATTTTAGCTGTTTTTTACTGCAGCAAGTCAATTTAAGGCGATACGAAGTTCCAAAGCATATCAGCAAGTAAATTAGGGGAAATATATGAGGTAAAGCTAGCATTACATTGAGTAGCAGAGAGAAATAATAGGGAGTTTCTTAACAAACCTTTCTCTATTTAAAACTGTCTGCTGGTGCGTGAGCCTGCACACTTCTTAAATATGAACCCCAGTTTCCCTACATGTCTTTGAAGCTGTTTACCGGTAAGTTAGTCCTCTCTAATCCTGTCTCAGTTCTTTTATAAACCCGACAATTATTGCATTTTACATGTCACCACTGGGTTACTTGTTCATCATTGACGATATCCGATTACGTCGCCCTTTCCCCCAGGCCTAGTCAGAAGCAGAAAATGCAACCAACTTCTGAGACAAATTTTTCTGAGAAAAATATCCCTGTAGATTTCTTTGAAAAACTGAAAGCAAGACTCCTGAAAAGAATGGAAGCTATAATAAAGGCAAACAGTGTACACACTAAATACTAGAATACTATAATTATATTTAGTTATTGAGTCTTCTGAGTCATTTATCTACATGACTTATATGCCCCATATGTATTACATGTGTACCTATATGTAATTATGTCCCATGTATGTTTTATATATGTAATCACCTATACACAATAATAACAGGTGTGGTACATATTCTGTACATACATATATACCGAGATGCTTTTCTAAAAGGCACTTTAAAGAGTCTATTACAACTATGCAACCAACTTCTAAGACTGAACTTTGGAGGTGTGGAAAAATATCCTTGCAGATTTCTTTGGAAAGAAAAAGAAGCTGCAACAAAGGCAAAGATTTCAAAAAATATTTGTAAAAAATTTAGTTGTACTTAGTTGTTAAATATATATTTTCTGCTTTTTTCCTTGACACTGAAAAATTAATAATTTTAATTTTATATATATTTTGACTGGAAATTAAATAAATGACACTGACGTTTTCAAAGAACTGTACATCCAATTTCTATGATTTTTGTTAGGCCTTAATATGGTTTCCTGCATGAATACCTTCAGTATAAACATCATCTTTTTTCCTTAAACACACCCTAGCGTGTGTTATTATTGACCAGAGAGCTGTTAATTACACTTTAATGGCCTTCTTTTCCCCGGCTGAAAGGCCACTCAGGACTATAGGCCGATAATCAGGTTGTAGTGTCGCGAAGAAATCAATTTCTCATCCATATGCTTTTGTGAATGGGGTTACAAAACAACATGAATGAGTCATAAGGTGTCAAAGCAGCCCCCTCACACGGTCTATGTGACCTCTCTCTCGCTCTCTCTCTCTCTCCGTCTCTCTCTCCTTCTCATAGTGCTTGAGCTCCGTGCAGCCAGAGAGAGAGAGGCTGCTGGTGTGGGCAGATGGCAGGTTAGAGCGGCCATAGAAAAGCCGCAGCCACTCAGTGTGTAAGAGCTAAGTGCAGCTCAGTGGAGGACGAGCTTTGTTCTCTGTGCTAATGAGTGTTCTCACTCCCACGGCTAAGACGCATGGCTGATCACCTGTAGTTCTGCTTCACGGCAGAGGGTGGAGCCAGAGGTGAAGGAAGGAGTAGTAAGAAAGGGGAAGGTGGTTCACTGTCATTTATTTGGTCTTGGCTTCAGGTCTTGTGTTTAAGCTGGATTTCAGCTAATGACCTTTAGTGGGGCTCAGTGATATGACAAAAATACAGTGTTGTGATACTTGTAGGGCTGGGAAATATGACAATATCTATTGCTATCGTGGTAAATTATGTCACAGTATGTCACAATATGCTTTCCTGAGTACATTATGGGTGTCATCAGTACTTCTAGAACACTGGCCAAAGTATGAATCATTACAAACAGCGCATAAACTGTAGATTTTTACTTATCGTTTTCAAATTTGGCACTGCAAATATACTTTTTTTGTCCATTCCACCTTATCATGCAGCAGAAGAAATGAATATCGTGGCATATTGTGTATCATAAACAAGTATTATGATATTATATTTTTGTCATATCACTCACCATTACTGTAAGATATGGACAAAACGCTAGTACTGTGATTATATTGCTATATATTACGAAAGCGATGCATCTTCCAATATATGAAAAACACACTGGTGAATCAGTAATGACATGGTTAAAGCCTGCATTATTTTTGACCAAAATAATTTAGTTTTGTTGGATTATGCGAATGCCTTGATTTATCTAAACACCCCCAGAAACCCATTCGGTTCTGTGATCATCAGGATTCTCACAGTCGTGCTCAAAGCCAGTATTGCCCAAGGCCATATAAAAATGATAGAGGTAAACCGTCAGGGTAGTTTTTTTTTTATTTAGTAGAGAAGTAGCATCAAACTTGTATGTAAACACTGCAAGTATTGTAGCATTTATCTTTCATTGTTAAGTTTTGGGTAGAAAACTGAAAAGGAATTTTTTTTCCCCTGTAGTATCTAATTGGATACAGCCTACTTACCCCATTGGTTAGGCCTTCAGGAGCTGAACTGAAGGCCTAATGTGTCAAATTAAGCACCAATGTAATTAGGATGTAACAGTGGAATCAGCCAATCACATTTTGATTTCCAGTGGGTGGGACTAATTCTGTGGGAAAAAAAAAACATCCTGGCAGTCTTAAATACGTAACTGATTGCAAATACAAACCGTAGTCCGAACACGTTTTAATCAGTTGCTAGAAAAGAAAATAAGGTCATGTTTTGTTACTGTGCAATTTAAATTTGACCTGGTGACATCTCTGGTTGTTCTGGATAAGCTTGAATGATTAATTTGTAATTTTTGTTTAATGAACCGCGCAGTTTACCAGTTTTGTAGAAACGCTGATGATGAAGGTGATGTGCTCAAGAAAATGTGTACATAATTTTATGACAACATTGATAATATATTGCCATATCACTCGCTCATCGCTCAATGGATTCATTTAGGATTAGCAGTAGTGTAAGTGAGTGAAAGAGAGAGAAAGATTAAGACAGAAGTGGGCGACGATTCGGATGGACAGATTTTGGAGCTGACCATACGGGACCTGGAGTCGTCTGCTGCTGCTGTAGCCTGCAGCCACGCTACAGGCTCCATTGCCCACGTTTAGTTAGCGACCCAGGCTGGACAGGCTAAACCTCGTCATCCATGACCTGTACATCATGGCCGTCACAGTCAGAGAGTCACGGCTTAAGCTCGTCACACATGGCCCCTCACTGAGGGGTTAATCTGGGATAAACAACTGTCAGCCATATGCAGGCTAAGCTCTGGCTCAAAAATGTTGTTATATGTCTGAATGTATATCTCAGTGTTTACAATGACTCTTGCAAGGATTGCAGGGGTCCTGGAGAAGGGGTCCTAGAGAACTGCCATCCTGTAAAGTTTAGTTCCAGTTCTATTCTACCACTTCAGACCCTACAAATCTGGACCTTCTTTTTAGTTAATAAAAATAATAATTATTTAATAGTTAATAAATCTTTTTCCACATATTTTTCAAAATGCATAATTCATTGGTTGAGATGTGAGCAAAGTCATTCAGAGTGGTTTGATTTGAAGTGGTTAACTGTAGAGAAACATACTGATTCGGATTTCTTTACAGTGGTGGTGAATGGCAAGTATAGCCATTTTATTTTCTATCCAAAACCACCAGTGTGAAGTTTCAACGTTGAAATTTTGGTAATAAAAATAAAAAAAAATGTTTCCTTTAAAGACTGTTTTGTCTAACAACACCCCACATACACCTCTGTACCATGAAAGGCTTTTCAAAAATATGTTTTGGGCCAAAACCTTCTCAAAACTATCAGAAACAATGTTGGTGTTGTCTCTGACTTTTGTATAGTGCTGTACCTGGTTGACTTAATCGAGGCCTTTGGGAGTAGGCTTTGATTAGTCAGAACTAAAGTTAAACTCTTCAGCACAAGAGATGAGCACTCTTGTGTTACAGCATCACTGGCATCTTCTTGAGTGCTGTATACAGCCTACTGTCTGCTTTCCTTATGAATGAAGTTAGGAGAGAGAGAGAGAGAGAGAGAGAGAGAGTAACAAAACGAGAGAGAGAGGGGAGAAAAAAAATCTCTTGAAGCTTTGAAAGCCTTTGAACGGCTGTACGGTCCTAAGTGTGACAGGCATGCAAAAGGCGCGTTAATGCGCAGGGCCTGAATAGCGGCGATGGTGGAGGGCCCACTGTGTGGACATCACAGCGACCTGATGGACTCCATGCGGCTCCCAGTCTGCGGACTCGAGCGAGCCGACGTGTGATGTGATCCCGGTGACACTGGCAGCTCCGTGGCCAAGGGGGAAGCACAAAGACAACAAGCCCCCCCACCCCTGGAAACGGTGCTCACGGTGGACCCCCTGGGGCCCCCCTCCCAAAACACCCACCCCATCGCCCCAGCCTGGCAGAAGTTCGGGCAGCGCTCATTAGGGCGTATGGGGAAAAAATGAATAGAATTGACTTGATTCAAATGTGTACATCATTTCCACATGAATAAAATATCATCGTTGTCAGATCAAAACCTCATAATTTTGTGTTTTCACCATTTAAAAGCTACCCCTTGTGAACGTTCTGTGATGAAAGGACCAATAGAAATGGTCCAAAAGTATGTGGGAAAAGAATCTATGTACATAAAAGTTGGAAACATTTTTTGTCTTCTTTTTTCTGTTTCTGGTTTGTTATAAAGTTGCTGTTTAGAGTTACGTTTTTCTTTTTTTTTTCTTTACGACATCTTCAGAGATGTTCTTTTAGTGATGAATCAAGGCATTCACATAATCCAAACATAAATAATTTTTGTCAAAATAATCCTGGACGGTCCTAAACTGTGTCACATCAAGCATTCACCAACGTGTTTCAAATACATTACAATGTGTATTACAGTTGGAATATATGGCATTGTAATCGCAATATGGTGTTTTGTCCATATTGAACACCTCTAGCATTAGACCCAGGCCACTGTCTAGAAAAAGCCTTCAGCTGCCTGCCCGAACTCCCAGAAAAAAAATGGACCTGAATGACAGGGGTACCCAAACAGTATGATATGCATTATTCCTGTCAATAAAAAAAAAATGTCCCCGTGAATTATAGTCTTTGTAAGTAATGTAACAGCTTTCCTTTTTTCCCGGCACAGAAAGGAAAAAAGAATAAAAATGCCCTCCTCCCAGCCTGTATTCTTTTTTTGTGTCTCTCTTTTTATTATTCAGGGGGGAAATAGTAGGAGGCAAAAAGTTGTCCGATGGCTTTGTCTGTGAGAAGTGCTCATATTTGCCACGCAGCTTGAACGGCGTGTCTTTTGTTCGGCACAGTGAAATGAAAAAGGCCTGGTGACTTTTTTCTTGTTTTGTTTCAGATCAGCTCTGAGCCTGCAGATGATCCGGAGAAAGACTGGCTGAGGACGGAGAACAACAGGCTCAAAGATGATGTCAACAGCTTGCACATTGAAATGGAGCAAATTCGACAAGCTCTGGAGGCCAAAGATCAAAGTCTGAAGGATATGGGTAAAGAACTCCACATATACCACTTTGACAATTTACATTTTACTGTTGGCAAATGTTCCCCTCACCTCAAATGCAGTCAGTCAGCCAAGACACACTTTGTACTGTGCTTGTTTAATTTTGCACTGGAGCTGTGAGGCTAATGTAGCTAAATGTAATGGAAACTTATACCCTACCAATTAATATCGTGCAAGCTGCATAACTTAAACATCACACACATGCCTCAGGCTGCTTCATAATTGTTTAGTAATCCCAAATAGTGTAATACTTACGTGGTTATCACGTTATGTGGTTTCTGACACTGTATGACATACTGTTGTATATAAAAATGGACAAAAGTACATCACATAGTTAAAAACAGTAGTAGCTTGATCTTCTCATTCTTCAAAAAAAAATAATTGTACCAATTTCCACTAGTTTTTCCTTTGTTTACTCAACGTCTGTAAATAATTAGGTATGTTGACTAACATTCTGTTCTCAGCACTAAAAGATATACTTGGTTGAACTAAAATGTTAATATTTGTTGACTTAAGACAGGAAGGCCAGATTATACCATGTCAAAATACCTGAGGACCAAAATATTATTCACAAATGATTCAAAATATGTTTTCAAAATTTTTAAAAATACAACCACGCAGAGGTAATCGATCTGAGCAACTTGCTGGTGATCTATTCTGAGATTTTGGTGACCACATCCTAAACATGTATAAATCTGCTGCCGGAGGAGTTTCCAATGTATGGAATTGGAGCTTTCTGTGAACTACAGTGTTCACTATCACTGTATTCTTTTACTGTTGGATTGCTTATTCTGAGTATTTTGGATGGGTAAATGCTTATAAAATATCACTAATGTGTTTATTCATGGTAACAATAAGTGTATTTAATGTGTTAAGTATATTCCTATTCACGTGTTTACTTTTTCAAAAATCTAATTTGTGAGACAAACCAAGTAAACCATAAATGTTCAGTTTTATTAAATTATGTTCTTTGCATATCAAATGAATGCAGCGACAGTATTCAGAAATCATTTTTAAACAGCGCATATTGTTTGGCCTTAAAGGGTTAATATTCAGTGAACTGCTGAATTTGCTCTGATAAGAATTTGGGGCTGAGACTTGGGTAGCTGCAGCTGCTTTACTTTCTCTCCTAAATATTTGTTGTAACGTCCATGCTTTGCTTGAGGACACATTTGTTGTGGGTCTTAATAAAAGGTATTCAAATTTCCATCCTGCTGAAATTGCTGGTTTTCAGTGTTCAGTCTGTGCTTAATGGATGTAGTCTTAACTAAATGCCACCATCAGGTGAAAGGAAGAACTGCAACGTATTGCCTGTTGGGCCACTTATAATACAGTCTAAAACAGAAGCCACAAGCCACTTAATATCTGTCTGCAGGCCACATTTGGCCCAGGGGCTGGACTTTGGAAACCCTGTCCTAGGAGGTACAACCCCATTTCCAAAAAAGTTGGGAGGCGGTGTAGTTTGCCAGTATTGCAAATCATGTGAACCATATTTTTAAAGGAAAATACTACAAAGACAACATATCAAATGTTGAAACTGAGAAATTTTATTGTTTTCTGAAAAATATATGCCCATTTTGAATTTGATGCCAACAACACGTTCCAAAAAAGTTGGGACAGGGCCTGTTTACCACTGTGTTTCATCACCTCTTCTTTTAACAACACTCTGTAAGCATTTGGGAACTGAAGAGACCAATTGCTGTAGTTTTGAAAGTGAAATGTTTTCCATTCTTTGTTTGATATAGGATTTCACCTTCTCAACAGTTCAGGGTCTCCTTTGTCGTGTTTTTCGTTTCATAATGCACCAAATGTTATCAGTGGTGACAGGTCTAGACTGCAGGCAGGCCAGTTTAACTCCCAGGCTCTTTTAATACAGAGCAATGCTGTTATAATACATGCAGAAAGTGGTTTGTCTTGCTGAAATAAGCAAGGACTTCCCTGAAAAAGACGTATATATATCATTCTATATATATACCAAAACATGTATATATCGTTCAGCATTAATGGTGCCTTCACAGATGCGCACGTCACCCATGCCATGTGCACTAATGCATCCTTATACCATTGCTGACGCTGGCTTTTGAACCGTGCACTGATAACAAGCTGAGTGGTATTTTGCCTGGAGGACACGGTGTCCATGATTTCCAAAATGAATAATTGTTTTTTGGCCTTGTCCCTTACATACAGAGATTTCTCCAGATTCTCTGAATCTTTTAATGATATTATGTACCGTAGATGATGAAAAGCAAATGTTCTTTGCTATTTTATGTTGAGAAATGTTATTCTTGAATTGTTGCACTATTTGATTGTGCAGTCTTTCACAGAATGCTGAAACCCTCCCCATCTTTACTTCTGAAATACTCTCTGAGATGCTTTTTTAGACCCAGTCACGTTACTGACCTGTTGCCAATCAACCACCAGGTGTTTGCATTACACAACTTTACCAGCCTTTTGTTGCCCCCATCCAATCTTTTTTGGATTGTGTTTTTGGCATCAACATTAACATTTATGGCGTTTAGCAGACCACACTTATCTAGACCAACTTACAGTTTTAATCTGCAGAGATAGGCAAAGGTAAAATAAGGAGTCCTATCCAGGACCATATTACACGTTTGGTGTAATGTGGTGTTCATGTTCAGGTAGGGAATTAGTGTTACCCACTATGCTATGCCAGCTGCTGCAAAATGGTCTTTACAAAGCCAAAAAATACCCTACTATGTCATTTAATTGACTTCTGATATACATTATGAAGTTTTGCATGGGGGAGAGATGGCCTTCAGATTATGTCTCATATCATTTAATTAGGGATGCACTAGTCATTTTTATGGTTGATACCAAATCCTATTTATTTACAGCTAAACTGGTTAATGGCTAATTTTTAAGTTTTTTTTCAGCACCACTTTTCTCTTATCTCAAAGCTCCCAACTATTTACTACTACTACTAATAATCCCCGACTTGTGACCAAGTCAAACTCTACCACTATGGTGCAAAGTCACTGGCTCACAGTCTAGTCAAAATCTTCTACCGAGGTGGGAAGTGTTCCAGCTCACGACCTAGTCAATCTCCGATACCATAGTAAGAAGTGTCCCAGCATGCAGCCTAGTGAAACTAGGCCGCGATAAGAAGTGTATCGGCTCGCAGCCAGTCTGACTCCACTGTTACAGTGCATTGTCCTTAACCCACAGACCAGTCAAACTTTGCTGTCATGGTGGAAAGTAACCACTGTAAAAACTGTTCTGGCTTGTAACTTATTCATTTGCTACCGTGGTACGAAGTGTCCTGGCTCACGACCTAGTCAAACTCAGCTACCGCGGTAAGAAGTGCCCAGCTTGCAGTCTAGTCAGACTCCACTCCTGTGATGATTAGAAGTGTCCCAGCTCGTGGCCAAGTCAAACCCAGAAGTCGGTAGAAAGTGTCATCCCTCGTAGCCTGGTCAGTCTCTGCCACTGCGATGCAAAGTCTCTCGGCTGGTTCTCAGCTGATGATGGAGAAGTCCTGAGCCAGCGAGAAAAGTTAAAAATCACAAATATACCACGGGCAATACAAAACAAACAGAAATGACACTTTAAAAACAATGAAAAAAAGAAAAATCTCGTCTATTTAACCCCTTAAAATCCCAGCCTGTTGACATACTAAGGCTGACTACTCAGTAAGTATAGGAACTTCAGTGCAAACAAGCTATTCTTAGGCTGTAGAGGTGTGCAACAAAACTATGCCCCGCCTGTGCGCCTGGCCATTTAAAGGGTTAAATAGCATAAAATAAAGTGCCACATTGAAAGTAGGAGGCAACAGGCTGTTTAGCACATTTTGGTATAAGTGTATCAGCAGCATTCAAGTAGAGCGCACTTACTTGACTCACGTTATTTACTTCATAAAATTGCAACACAGATCAGCAAAATGAAATGGCTATAATAAAGTGACTGAGGCATCTAATATTATGATATAAATAATCAAACATTCATGTAGATGACACAACTTAGGTTGAAAAATTTGTGTAGGAATATTGAACTCATCAAATATTATTCAACAAATTTCTTAATTTGAAGGGAGATATCTCCATGTAACACAGTTGTTCTTTTTTTAATGCATTTTTTTTTTGCTTGTATTTTTTATGATAAAAATTCTTTCAAACTTTTAAATTTGTATCAGTTTTCTACATTAACATTGCCACTTCTTCCTAAGCTATGTTTTGTTTTATAAATCAGCTATTTAGAGGGCAGGTGCTCTAGAGGACAGCTCACAGGGAAGTATTTTTTGGAAAAAATACAAATTCATCCTACCCTTATCTTTGCTTGTGCTGAAAGGCAGTCTGTGATCAGAATGCAATGTTTGAGGACACTTGTTAGATCATGGCTATGATCCTACAGTGTACGGTGCCTGTGAGAAGCAGGTAAACATGAGACAGGTGTATTTTCAAGGGTCAGTGCTTTATCTCTCCTAGTGTTTGATGTTCACTCTACATTGCTTATGTAACTTTGGTAACCATCTGAATATTTTCCCTGGGGGAATATTTCGATTGCCTCTGAATGGCACTGTTTTAGACCAACCTTTATACAAGGAAGACAATTAAAATAACGATAATGACTCTCTATTCTTAAGCACAGTTTTGTTAGTTTTATGGAGGATCAACTCCTTTCATGCAATTCTATTGAAAAAGCTAAAAAGCCATCTGTTAAAGGCTTTCGCATTGGCTGTGACTAACCTTAAGCTCTGTCCGGTTTTAATGTGTGTTAATGGAAAGAAAAAGGCACAAACACACACAGTGCAAACACACACTTGGCCCTTGAACTCAGTGGTCAGTGTTGGTCAGCACATGCAAGTGGACATGTCAAGACCAAAGCCCCAGGTCAGCAGCCCGTCAGTAGGCTGGGACAAGCTGAGCCATTCAGACCTGCAGTGGCCACTGACCTGAAACTGAACAGGAGGACAAAGAAGCAGGGACCACTGTGTCCACTGTGTGCCCAAATGTCTCTCGTATTACTCTGATCTCTACTCTTGTCTTGTTATGGATGGTCGTAGACCACCCTTCATTTATTTCATTTCCAGTCAAAATGGCTATGTAGTCACATATTTTTCAGGAGATATTTCTGAGGAGATTAGATATAAGATACTCCAACTCTAAGATTCAGTTAGTAAAAGATACAGAGACAATAGGATAACCATGCAAGACCCAGTAGAACATCGAAACTGTCCCCATCAGATAAACAGCACGTAAAGCTTTCATCTCTGAGAGAGAGGAGAAAATCAAGCTGCTCCAGATCTGAAAACATCCACAGGTGTTTCTGTCCATCCTTCCACTGTGAGAAGACGACTCAGCGCTGTGGGTCTGAAAGGAGGTGTAGCTGTCAAGAAGAACCTCACTGAGAAAAGGAAACAGACAAAACAGAGAAAATTTGCAAATCAAACAAAGAAGCTGCTGGTGTTCTCAGAACAATGGACTGACCACCCCAGAGTCCAGGCCTCAACAACACTCAAAGTGTTTGGGATTACTTAGATAGTAAGAGGCATGAAAACGCAAGGAAACCAACTTCTAAGACTGAACTTTGGAGGTGTGGAAAAATATCCCTACAGATTTCTTTGAATAACCGAAAGTGAGTCTCCTGAACAGAATGGAAGCGGTAATGAAGGCAAAGTGTGGACAAAAATATAGTGTTATTTTTAGTTATTTGAGGCTTCGGTATAATTTTGTGGTAAATACGTTTTCTGCTTTTCTGTAATTAAATGAATGAAGTGTGATCTGTAATTTTCTCACAGTAGCGTATAGTCATATATAAATTTTAGAAAACCCACTGTGGTGGAAATTGTTCATCCGTCAACTCATTCATATTATCTACACAGCATTGATTTATAGTGTACTGAGGAAAGACTATGGAGTGTTAAAGATTTATCGTTGACAATTCAAACAATATTGACTGTCTATTAGAGTCACTGATAGATAGATTAATTAAGACATTCTCTTAATGCAATAAATGTAAATAGGTTTGGATGAAAAATGTGTTTTGCGTCGCTCTGACTAACCTAAATTTGTCTGTTTCTCTCCTTGTACCAGCCTTGAATATTTCACAGCTGCAGTCAAAGGCGGATGGTGACAGAAAAGCCTTGCAAAAGGTACTACATATGACATCATTCAGCAATACACTAATAGTCAATGTCCCTGTCATCAAAGCCTCTTATTTCTGAAATAATAACTTTATAGAAAAACAATGTGATTTTGTTCCAGGTAAGTCATTTCCATTGGTCTATTTATCTTGGACTGTTTACACAATGTAAAAGGAGGTTGGCTTGTTTAAATAGATAAACAAGTTTAAAAAACTGACGATATAATTTTTGTCTTGTCCCGTATCGTTTACTTTGGATCTTTTTCAGCTGTCCAGTGAAAATGACAAACTAAAGGTGCAGCTGAACCTTGAGAAAGAAAATGGAAGAATTCAGGTAAGAATCTTGCTATCAGAGATTTTTCCTTTTTGTTTAGGTACATCACAGCAGGTTACCAGCTAATAGCCCTCAAACACCTTCCTAATCTCGTATTGCTCCCAGGACACCCCCTGTCCTTACCAGAAATGTTTGCTGTGTGTTCACGTGGACAAATATGGCAGCATATGTCAGGTTAAGGTGACGCTCATCCCCCCCCGGATTACTGCGCTGTTGTGTGTGCTAGCACAGGGGGGCATGCCAATAGAGAGCGAAACCAAACCTCTTCCACTGGAGAGCAACTGGTGGGTGAAAGCCCAGACTAAATCATTTTATTACTGTGTGTCTTATCGAGTGTGCACAGCGCGAGGGCTGACCGGGTGGCGTGTCTTGATTGGTAAAACACTGGAAAATAACACTTGGATGCATTATTTATGGCCAAGTTTATCTTTTACTGCGGCTGTAAAGATACAGTGTACGTGTGATCATAGCCCTACGTGGTGTTAAGAGTGGCGTCATGCCAGCAGTTAGATTACTGTATCACTGTGATGCTGTACCCATTGCTCTTTGCCTAACAGGCTGAATTGGCTCTAGGTCGGCCTGCTTCCTCTTATTCGCCTAATCATCAGAGCAAATGTTGGTCCTTTCTTTTTTTTTCGCATGAGCATGTTTATCCTGTAAACCACAAGCTTAGTTTTTTTAGTTATTGGTCTTAAAGGGGCATTCCGCTGAAAGAGAGCTTTGATGGACTTTGCTTAAGAGAAACTTCACAAGCCAGATTAGTTCTTGGTAATGTGGACTGTTTAAGGCATCTGAAAGCTCCCTCACAGAAATATTACACCAATTGGTTATGAATACGCCACCTTATGTCTGTTTTAGGATATGATTTTGCCCTAAAACACACTATTTTTAAATATTTATGGGGACAAAATAGTAGCTTGTTTTTTCAGATTTAGTATTGTGCCATTTTTGACATTACATTAAAAAAATACATGTGTAGATGCACTAGTTATTTTGGATAGTTTGTAAAATGATGCAATGATGTAAGTCATAATAAACTAAAACGATGCCATAATAGGAGAGAAAAATCATTTGGTGAAAAAAAATCAATAAACAAAGATGATGTTATAATAGGAGATGGAAAACATTTGGTGATGGTGTCATAATGGGTGATTAAAACATATTTGGTAAACATAAATAAATAAGCCAAGATGATGTCAAAATAGGAAAAAAAGAGGTCAATATAAATAAATTATAGATTATAGATTATGTCATAATGGGCTGAGCTCCAATCAGCTACCATGTCAGTTTCTACTATTTGTTGTTGTTTTCAGGCTCTCTGCAATTGGTCCTAAATGCTCTTACAGATTTTCAGTGTTCTAGAGGTGCTGACGATGTCATCAGTTACTCAGAAAAGTGTAGCATGATGTATTTATCATGATAACAATAACGTATCGTCCTACTGCCCACCCATAATATGGACCCTGCAGTTTAAAGACTTTAATTCTTTTTGTAAATGCATTATAATTCACATGCTATTGCAGGGACACAAAGCAACGCTTTGCTAACTTAAAGAAGAAATGGGCAGTGGTATTAGCTCAAAATTAACTTAAGAACTAGTTACCAAGTATAATATTGTGTGGAAATGATGGGTGATTGCCAGGCATCATGTGCGGCTAAGTGAATTTTCTTGCCTCACAATGAGCGAAATTAAAATATGAACACAGAAGGCAGAGTGAAAGAGTGTGCTGTTCTCTATTGAGCTTTTGAATTTTGGCCACACAGAAGCCAGGGGGTTAAAAGTCTCCCCCTGACCTGGCAGGGGTTGCTGGGAGACAAGCAGCGAGGGCCCTCTCCAAGCTGGCAGAGTTTACCCAGCAATCAAACGCTCATATTAAACACGGCTCAGAGTCAAGAGCCATACTCCAGTCTGAGTGTAGAGCCATACGCTACTCCACAGCGGGGATATGATCTGGCTGTATGTATGTTTGTCTAAGCGCTCTTTTGCTGTTGTAAATGTTAGATTATATTATGTATGTTTTATCATAGTATGAAAAACTGGGGACAGTAGGTACAATGTAAATAAAAACAGACAGCAATGATCGTAAATCCGCAAATCTTTTTTGACCTATATTCAATTGAAAATAGTTCAAAGACAAGATATTTATTGTTTCAGCTAATTAACTTTGTTGTGTTTTGTATATATGGCTTATTCTAAATGTAATGCCTGCCAAAAAATGGCACAGGGGCAGTAATTAAGAACTGAGGACATTGTTTTAGATGTGAAAGCGGAATTTTTTCCCATTCTTGATTGATATAAAACTTCAGCTGCTCAACAGTCTGGGGTATCCATTGTCAGATATTGCGTTTCGTGATGCGCCTCATTTTTTAATAGGAGGCAGGTCTGGACTGCAGGCAGGCAGATTGCTTTACAGTTGTTCTGATAGGAACCAGGGGTGTCAATGTATACACCGCAAATATAGCTATTTTATTTGCAAAAGAACCAGTGAACTTACACATATCATCTTAGTATTTAAATGTAGTGTTGATAATGATAAAATAGTGGTAAATCTAAATCTAAATATACAGTTTTCTTTGTGCACGATTTTGCATTACAACACACTACATGTACATTTCTGTCATTAATATATTTAAAGCTGCACTATGGAAGACTTTGTTGTTAAAACTAAAAGATGTAGCATTACTGAGTTTGGTGGAAAACACATGCTAAAATATGACACATTGCTGAGAGTCACCCTGTAAAGCCTGAGATAACCATTTAAAAGTCAGAACCGTTGGGTCGGATTTCTTGGAACATACATTTTACATATCAAGGTCACACACTCGGGAAGGTCCAGTTCAATGTTTAGATCTCAAACGCAAAATAAACATTGTAATGATGAAAATTGCGCTGAATTTACTTTGTTCACATGAGTACATAATTTGCACATGAAGAAAATATGAATACACATACATATACATATAGAACTAGTACAGACAACATTGGAAAATGTATTATATTGCATTCATGTAGAAATTTAGATGTAGAAATAATGTAAATTCATTGTATTCTTTTTTATTTTCTGTGTTTTTTTCTTGCATTGGCCTTATTTTGATGAGAAACAGAAAGCTGGAGATCTGTTATCTTCCTCTCTTTTCTGTTCCAAACCCCAGAAAGATGAGAACAGAGGTTAATGATGGGGGAGCAGGTGGTATCCAAAAAATCCTCTGCGCACAATCCCTGGATATAAAAAACACTAATAAAGACGTCCTTAATGTCATTTCAATCAGCAGTGAAAGGGATTATCCATATTTAGTGTATAAGTTCAGAGCGCCACCTATTCAGTCTGACCCACCTTTTGTTGAATGGCCCTTTTGTGTGAGGCCTGACAAACTCAATGTGAAGGTCTACTGCCGAGGTTATGCATAAAAATGTAAAAGGAAAGGGAAAATGAAGTGTTTTTTTTTTCACTCCACATTATTTTTGGTGACTTTGATCAATGGAGCAGTAAATGTGTTGCGGTGGTGAACCGAGTGGAGGGGGGAGCAGTGGAGCGGGGGGGTTGCTTTAGGACCACTGAGGCTCAGCTGGGTGTTCACTTGGCCTCCGTAAAAAAAGCCTCAGAATGAACTGGCCGTCCACTGATCTAAAGCACCACCAGCTGACCACTGAAAAGCTCCACTACTGTAGACAAATGTGTGTGTGCACATGTATTTGTTTTCCTACATTTTCAAGACAAAATGTCCTTTTAGGATAATCAGAGAAAAACAAGGCTGACAAAATAGTTGTAATAGACTCTTTAAAGTGCCTTTTAGAAAAGCATCTCGGTATATATGTAGGTACAGAATATGTACTACACCTGTTATTATTGTGTATAGGTGATTACATATATAAAACATACATGGGACATAATTACATATAGGTACACATGTAATACATATGGGGCATATAAGTCATGTAGATAAATGACTCAGAAGACTCAATAATTAAATATAATTATAGTATTATAGTATTTAGTGTGTACACTGTTTGCCTTTATTATAGCTTCCATTCTTTTCAGGAGTCTTGCTTTCAGTTTTTCAAAGAAATCTGCAGGGATATTTTTCCACACCTCTAAAGTTCAGTCTCAGATATTGGCTGTATTTACTACTTGCAATCCAAGTAATCCCAACCACATTTTTTGTGGTCTAAAAGGTTTGCACCTTTGTTTGGAGTCTGATTTTCTTTATTTTTTTAAATAATTTTTAAACTCGAGTTCAAAATCCAGTTTTAAATCCTAATTTTGTTAAGTATTGTGAAAAAAAATGTGGTCTTTTATGTATTTTTTGTAATTTTATAAAAATTAAAGGGTGAAATAAATAAAGGGTGATCTTACAGTGAAGTGTATGTATATTGTGGCTCAAATAAATCATAGATTTACAGGGATATTTAAGAGAGATCTTATATATATTGTGCAAAGCTGATGGAAACTTACCCCAACAGGCTTAAAGCTGTTATTGAAAAATGTGGTTCTAGCAAGTACTAGTCTGAAGGGGTTGAATACTTATATAAGCGCCATTTTTCACAGAAGCTCTGCTGACTAATAATGAAATGACTTTGAACATTTATTTTAAGAGCATATTGGTTTTCAATAAAAATACTATCTGGATCGGTCTGTATAGGGGTCATTTGTAATCCAGACAAATCTGATGACTTTAAGGGGATTGATTATTTTTCAAGGTACTGTGTATATATAGTATGAGACCTGTAATTATTATTATTACACATACACCGACTGGCCACTTCACCTCCTTGTTTCCACACTGATCGACCATTTTATGCACTTTGTTCTACAATTACAGACTGTAGTCCATCTGTTTCTCTGTATACTTTGTTAGCCCTCTTTCACACTGTGCTTCAATGGTCAGGACCCCCACAGGATCATGACAGACCACCACAGAGCAGGTATTATGTGGGTGGTGGATCATTCTCAGCACAGCAGTGACACTGACGTGGTGGTGGCATGTTAGTGTGTGCTTTGCTGGTACAAATGGACCAGACATAACAGTGCTGCTGGAGTTTTCAAACACTGTCCTCTCACTGTCCACGCACTTACCTCGTTGGTCCACCTTGTAGATGTAAAGTCAGAGACGATAGCTCTCTAGACGATCTGTTGCTGCACAGTTTGTGTTGGTCATCCTCTAGTCCTTCATCAGTGGTCACAGGACGCTGCCCACAGGACGCTGTTGGCTGGATATTTTTGGCTGGTGGACTATTCTCAGTCCAGGAGTGACACTGAGGTGTTTAAAAACTCCAAATGCACTGCTGTCTGATCCACTCGTACCAGCACAACACACACTAACACGCCACTACCACTGAACAGGATAACAAAGTATGCAGAGAAACAGATGGACTACAGTCTGTAACTGTAGAACTACACAGTGCACCTATATAGTAAGTGGAGCTGATAAAATGGACGATGAGTGTAGAAACAAAGAGGTGCACTTACTGATGTGGCCGGTCAGTGTATGCACTTTATGCACTACAGTAATGGTCAAGAATGAGAATGTGATTATATATCATTACATGATAAGGCAGATAGTGGACAGTGTCCATTTCTTTTTACCGTATTACAGTGATTCTTAGCTATGTATTTTTGGTTGGTAGAAAGATCAGTTGGGATTCTGGGCAGGTGTAACCCGTCACAGGGCACCAATATGGGGCCACTCCTACTCTCTACACACAAATGTCACCCTGTCCACCCACGGCAGCCCTCAGAGTCCTACAGTTCCACTGTGTGTCAATCACAAACACATTTACCCACGCATCAGGAAGCCCCTTTCAGACTTTACTGCAATGCTCTAAAAACTGGAAAATCACTGTATTTTAAATTTCTTTTGGATTTCTGTAGCAAACACATCACAACAACCTGTTTTTCATAGTGTGACCTAATAAATGTTATTTTTCTCTCATCTACAGATATGCCAACTGAAACAGAAAGCAGAGAAAGTGACTGAATCTACTGAAAACTCCCCAAAAAAAGAGGTGCGTGTGTCCATTAGAAGGGACTGCAGCATAAGGGTGTAAAAATTAATTGATCTTTACAGTCATGTGCAAGAATTTGAGCTTCCCAAGTGAAATTATATGTTTAGTTGATTTTCTAAGTGAAAATAATGTAACACTTTCTTTACACAGCACACTTCTGCACATCGTACTGCACAATTACGGTTTATTTGCTGAATTTGGCATAATGTTTATAAAATAAAAAAAAAAAAAACAACGCCATTTCCAAAAAAGTTGGGACGTTGTGCAAAATGTAAATAAAAACAATGCAATTATGTGCAAATGATGTAAATCTTATATATATGATTGAAAATAGTACAAAGAAAACATGTCAGATTTTAAAAGTGCAAAATGTTATTGTTTTCTGAAAAATATATTCCCATTTTGGATTTGATGCCAGGACCACATTTCTAACGAGTTGGGACTAACGAGATTAACCCCTTACATGACCAGGACCTGCTGGCTGGCCCATAGTTTTATACAGGGAGATTCACTCGAAAGAGGCCCCAAATATTCTGTAATAACTCTCGCTAGGACGAAGCAATCTGAACGAAACAATGTGCAATGTGCTCCTCAACATATGGAGCTTCTAACAAGCCGGGATGCCCCTGCATCGGAGTGATGAAGTAGGTGCCGGACAGCCATTGTGACGTTTAACCTCTCTAATGCTTGCCGATACTTTCATAACATGGAGCGCTATGTTGGAATGTGTCTGGCAGAAAACGGAGATCACTTCCAGCATTGCATGTAATGCAATCGATTACACATACATCAAGGTATGTAGCATATTTTTTTTTGGTTCAGATTGCTTCATCCTAACGAGAGTTACAACAGAATATTCGGGGCCTCTTTCGAGTGAATCTCCCTGTATTACACACTTCTACATCCCAAAAATAGCTCAGTTAGCATTGAAGCCCCTGTAGTTACTGAATATTGAGCCTTATGTATGTAATAAGACTGACTGTATCCACAAATGCAAGTTAAAACTCTACCATGCAAAGAGGACACTATATAAAACAGGATCCAGAAACACTGCCGCCTTCTCTGGGCCCGAGCTCATTTAAGATGGACTAAGGCAAAATGGAAAACTGTCTTGTTGTCCAACAAATCAAAATTTGATATTCTTTTTTTTCGGAATCATGGACACTGCGTTCTCTGGGCTAAAGAGGAGAGGGACTATCCAACATGTTAAGCCAGAATCTGTAATGGTATGGGGTGCAGTAGTGCACACGGCATGGGTGGTTTGCACATCTGTGAAGGCACCATTAATGCTGAATGATATATACAGGTTTTGGAGCTACATATGCTGACCATCCAGATGATGTGTTTTTCAGGGACGACGTTGATTATTTCAGCAGACAATGCCAAACCAAATTCTTTAAGTATTACAACAGCACGGCTCTGCAGTAAAAGAGTCTGGGCACTAAACTGGCTTGTCTGCAGTCCAGACCTGTCACCAATTTGAAAACATTTGGCACATTATGAAATGAAAAATACAACAAAGGAGACCCTGAACTGTTGAGCAGCTGAAATCCTGTATCAAGCAAGAATGGGAAAACATTTCACTTTCAAAACTATAGCAGTGCCTCCTCAGTTCCCAAACGCTTACAGAGTGTTATTAAAGGAAGAGGTGTTGTATCAGTGGTAAACATACCCCCGTCCCAACTTTATTGAAACATGTTGCTGGCATGAAATTTTTCAAAAACAATGAACAGTACAATTTCTCAGATTCAGCTTTTGATATGTTGTCTTTGTACTATTCACAATTAAATATAGGGTTTACATAATTTGCACTTCATTGCATTCCATTTTTATTTACATTTTGCACAGCACCCAAGATTTTTGGAACGGAGTCATAAAACAGAAAATGTAGCTTGTTTAAAAATATGGCACCTTTTATATTTTATGTTGTATTTTTTCCAATAAGTAAAACTCAGCAAATAAATAAATGTTCCCTCTATGGGATGTGTTAACTTATTTTTATTTAGAAAATTGACTAGGAGTATTCAAACTTTTGCACATGACTGTATCATGATGCACTGGTCTGAAAGTGTTAAGTCATTCATCAGCTTGTTCTTAGATAAGAATCTATTATAATTGATTATAACAAGTTTGAATAAAGCTTAGAAACTGAAATAAGGAAAACTGGTGCTGTAAAAAAAAATATTCTGAATCATAGCAAAACAATCAGTTTCATGAGATCTTTTTGTATTAATGAAGTCAAAGATTTCTACCCCATAGCGGCATGTTTTGAAGCATTGCATTTCAAATTGGTCTGGACCAGAGCTGCCTATAGCAGGGTGTTCTGCAGGTCTTGACCTCTCAGGCGAAGGACAGTCCAGCCATCAGCACAGACATCAGAGTGCTAAAGCAAAGAGAGAGGATAAGGTGCACACGCCAGGTCTCAGCAGTATTGATCCAGGCAATGAGCACCAAGTTAAAATACAACTCGCATCCACACGGGCCCACATCCATCAACATCAGCACTGGCCCTTCCTGTCCCCTGTCTTTAACAGCAGGAGTACCTGAAGCACAATGCAGCCAACTCAAGTATCCCAAATGTATGCTAAACTCATGAACCCCTAGCTGGTTAGAATAGTTCAGTCAACAATGCTAGCAATACCCATAACGAAAGAAAGAGAATAGTCACTAGTTAGCATTATGAAAATGACACCATGGTAATCTATGGTTACTACCTTCCATTTATTATTCGCAACATTATCATGTATAGTTGAGCTTCTTTAATGTCAAGAATTATTATTCAGTAACTACTGAATGAATTTACCTATTCCACCCACACATGCATTCTTTTGTAGCAACTGTTGGTAAATTGGACTAGATTTGCAGAATATTTACTAAAATCTAATTCAAGCTAATGAATTTGGGTTGGAGTTCCGAGTCACTACATGTAATTGTATGCAACAGTTTGGGCAGCCCTGGCCAAATTACATATTTTATTTGATTTTTGTGAGTGAAAAGATATAAACAAACTATTCAAAGAAAATCTGCAAACGTGAATGCATACTTAATTTATGTTTGATTAAGTGACACCCTTTAGACTCTCTAGTCTCAGACTTAATTAACTTGTTAGGCTTTAATTTACTCATTGGGACAAGTTAGGTAGGTCATGAATTGTCATTAGGAATTGTCCAGAGCATGATAAATTTTCTCTTTCCACCTTGTGGCAATACTCAGCAATGTTTGGTTCCTCTAAGCAGTTGCCTGAGGTTCTCAAAATTGAGCTAATTGATACCTACAAGCAGGAGAATGATATAAAAAGATATAAAAGCACTTCCAGCTCTCAATTTCATTAAAAAATGGCTATGAAGAGAAACTGGATTTCTATAAAATAAAGGGGAACTGTGGAACTGCTGGAATCAGAGCAAGATCTGGAAGACTAAGAAAGCTCTGTTTAGAGAGTCTAGAACTGGTGATTTGATGGCTAGAAAGGCAAAATGAAACCCCCTTATGATAACAATGAACCTGTGGGAAGGTTTAGCTGACACAGTAGTGGTGGCATACCCTTTTACTGTGTAGCACTGCTTGCACAAAGATGATCTGGAAGTGGCATCAGAAAAGAACCTGACATGTGACCTCACCACAAAAGTCAACTTCTTAAATATGCAAATCAACATCGAGATATATAATGGAATTTGGATCTATTATGGATCTACTTTTGGCCATGTGGCAGTCAGTGGGACAGGAAACATTGCACAGTTAGATGGAAAAATGGATTTGGCTAAATTCGGCCAATTCTGAAAGCAAATGTCACACAGTCAGTCAAGAAACTCAGGCTGTAACAAGGCTGGCTTCTTCAACGGGATAATGATCCAAAACATACTTCAAAATCTACCATGTACTACTTCAAGAGCTATAAGGCATTGAAAATCTGAGGATAGATTTTAACCATACAATGCAGGCAAGGCAGTCCAAGAATATCACCAAACTAGATGTTTTCTGCAAAGAAGAGTGAGTAAACAAGAATAGAGTGGCTACAAAAAGCATTCACAAGCTGTTATATCTGCTGAAGGAGTTTTTGTTTATTTCCTTACAGATATGTCATTTTGCCAGGGGTGCCCAAACATTCAAGTACGATTGAATAAAATGCTACGCTGCTAAGCTGGACTACGTTACTGTAGCTAATCGGAACCACACATGATAAAAATGACAACGAATTTGCCACCATGCTAATGATACCTTGATAACACTGTTAAAAAGGTACAGTTTCTCATAAAGTTGAATGAGATTTTTTCCATGGTTCTGTGAAGCCTGTACAACCTCGCCATAGTTGCTGCGAAAGGCTGCGTCTGTGGATGGAGCATGGATAGGTCAGTTAATCCCTCACTACTGTCAAGCTAATATACAACGTAAATACTTATAAGGGGGAAAAACTGATTCATTTATTATTTGTCCAGGAGATTCCCTATTATTCCCGTAGGATATATTGGAGGGGGCGCTATCTCTACTACCATTTCCTTTTCTTATCAAATAATGCTACAGATAAAATATAGCATTATCTGCAAGGTTTGTTTAGCATACGTTATCAGAGGAGCCCAGACATTAAGCATTTGTAGCTTCAGCCATCTCCCTCTTTATCTCTCTCTCTCTCTCTCTCCCTCCCATTCATGCCTTGTCACAGTACTGGGCAGTTAAAGGACAGGCATGGGGGAGTATTGGTAGGATGTCTCTATGTTTATAGTGACCACACAGAGCTGACGTTAGCGGTGGCTCTCTCCGTGGTGCTGGGTGCGCCTGGAATGTGGCAGGCAGCTGACCCAACACACGCTGACACACTGGAGTGGGTGAGGGGCGCCGCTGAAAAGGGACCGGACAATAGGCCCTGTTTAAAGTCCACTTCATAAAGAAGCCTCCGCACTGTAGTGGCCAGCCATTATGGAAACGTGTGCAGCACTCTTATCTGCTTTTTTCCAATCTTTCCTTTTTTCTTACCTCATAATGCTCAGATTGGGTCTTTAACTGACATAATCGGCCTGGAGTGGAGATACAAACTCAGCATACAAATACGTTGGCGGCAGTAGGTGGCTGCACAGTATATAGTTTGGTAATTGTTATGAGGGGATTTGGCTTTGCGATGCTGATACTGCTGCAGGGGAAGACAGATTAGTTTGCGCTGGCCGCTCAGGCCACCAAGCCTTGAATCTTGTGGCCAAAATTAACATTTTTTTAACCAGAAGAGTAGAAACATATACAAACGGCATATACATTGTATTTATGATTCTTTGAAAAAGATAATACTTTTTAAAAACTTTTCATTGATAAAAACATTGCAATTGTGGTGACTGTGGTGGTCCCCCATGCTGAGCTGGTCATTATCTGATCTAGTCAATAAGTACCGTTCAGCTACTGCAGCCTTTCTGTGTACTGGCAACGTTATTTAAGATCTTACATCATAGAGTGATATTAGAAAACTTTAGCCAGTAGAACAACATCTAAGATGCAAGGCAGACCAGAGCGGCAGAGGGACCACCGCAGTCACCACACCATCACATTAGAGATGGTTAGAGCTAATGAATTATGATGAAATCTGATTTGATGCAGTTCAGTCCAAACAGTATTACTAAAACATTATATATATATATATATATATACATATATCCAACTTACCCACCTAACCCTTGCAATCCCACCCAAGCCGTGCGCAGTTACATACTTAAATACATAAATGGATATCAAATAACACATTCATGCCTGTTCTTTTGATTAAGCCATCAAACAACCAGCTGCTGACCATCAGACTTCAAGAGTGTGTCCATTCTGCATTGATCAGTTTGAGATTAAAGGGGCTGATGGCTTCGTGTCTTCATTAGCGTCTGTATACAATGCCCAGTCTATCGGTCCACCTCACCCTGTCCACTGTTTTATTACTGCAAACAAACATCAACGCCTACTCCCTTCATCACACAATGGGCCTTTAAACACTCTTCCTTTCACTCTTTTTCTTCTTTCAGTTTGCAAGAAACAAAACGAAACAAACCCCCCCAAGAAACCCAGGCTGACACCCTTTCTGTGTTGGGTTAGACTAACAACACATTCAGCGCCCACTCGCGCTCTGAGATGTCCTAAAGGCCTCCCCTGGCCTCTCTGGTCTTTTGGGGTGGTGTGATGTCCGAGCTGACCCGAGGTGACCCGACCTTCACACCCATCCGAGCGTACGCACTCAATCAGGGAACATGACGTGGCTCAAAGCTCGGGCAGGCCGTGATTGGACATGCCACGCAAAGTGGACATCCGGCTTTAGAACTGTTCTTTGTTGCTGCCCAATGATATAATGACTTAGAGAATATGGCCCTTCATTGAAATCATGTTTGGAAACAGATCAAAGATCAGATTTTCCCCACTGATCTTTGCAACTACCCTTGCTGCTAGTTAGGGCTTCTAGGTCCTGCTCTACATAAGAAAAGTGTGAAAACACATCAAGTTACTGAAAAAAATCCAATTACTATTTTTCCATTGCTTCAAACAAAGTAACCGGTTAAGCAAGACATATTTGGCATCTGAAGTTTGCAGTGGAGCTCTGAGGCTACTAGCAAGTAAAGGACACTTATGCCACACCAGTTAGCATCAACAAACTGTATACTCATGTTTAGGGCATTAATTTGGTATGAAAGTTTGATCCAAACCTGAAAATAGCCCAAGAACATTATGTTTGAGGGTGACCCAAACCACAGCACAGAGATTAGAATCTGAACCCAATTGTAACCCCATAAAATTCTGTCCGAATCCAAATCTAACCTTATAAAATTCTGTTCAAACTTGACTGTAGCCTGACAAAATTCTATTTAAACCCAACAGTAAACTGAAAAAAAAATTTTGAAATCAGCTGTAACCCAAAAAGATTCTGTCCCAATATGACTGTAGCCTGAAAAATTCTGTCTGCTTCTGATTGTAGTCTGATAAAATTCTGTCTGAATTTGAGTATACCCTAACAAAACCTTGTCTGAATTAAACTTTAGCCCAACAAAATCGTCTAATCTCAATGTAGCCTGACAAAGTTCTGTCTAAATCCAACTGTAGCCCATCAAAGTCTGTCTAAACTCGACCATAACCTGACAAAATTCAAACAATGCAACCCGATTGAGCAAGACATGTTGAAGTTTGCAGTGGAGCTACAAGGCTACTTGTAATGGACACTTACACCACACCAGTTAGCATCAACCAACTGCATGCTTATGTGGTCTCTGACACTGTATGTCAAAATGTTATTTATAAAATGGACAGAAGACAAAATCCAAGCTATTAGATGGTGGCTACTACTGTTTTAGCTATGAAATGTACTGTTGTCCATTTTTGTGAGTAACAGCATGCATAAACAGTATCTAAACATGGTGCTGTATAAGCTCCATTAGCATATACACTGATCAGCCACTTTATTAGGTACACTTACCTTGTATATCTACCTTCTTAGTGCTTTTTTATCAGCTCCACTTACCATAAAGGTGCACTTTGTCATTCTACAATTACAATCTGTAATCTATCCATTTTGCTCTTTGCATACGTTGTTAGCCCCCTTTCACCCTATTCTTCAGTGGTCAGGAACCCCACAGGACCACCACAGAGCAGGTATTATTACAGTGGTGGATCATTCTCAGTGACACCGACGTAGTGGTGGCATGTTAGTAACTATTGCACTGGTATGAGTGGATCAGACACAGCAGCACTGCAGGGAAACTAGTCAGTGTTTAGCCTTCCAAACTAGTTCCGAAGTTAGCTGAGGCCTTCAGATATTTCCAAGCACGTTTGATTTTTACGACTTAAAAAAATGTTCACGATCATCCTGGAAAATCCTGAAAAAGTGTAGGCCCAGCTTTACTATTCCTTTATCCAAATGTTAGACATGTGCTTTTGGTATTATTCAGAGACTAGAGAGGAGGCATGAGGAAGAGAGGCTAGCAAAGCAAGAGAGTCAGAGAGATCTGTTAGCTCAGGAGGACAAGCTGAACACCCAGAAAACCCAGAGAGCAGCTGCTCCTGTGGAGGTATACATGCTTCAGGGGACGCTTAATGCTAATGTTGCTAATAATAATTAAAAGCTGGCTAACGATGTGCAGATGAGGCATCCTAACTGGTCCTCGTTAGCATTCATTGATAATCGTGATTTGCATTTTTGTGTGAGCTAAGCATTCAATCATGCTTTCGCACTTTTTCTTTAAGCCGGTTTTAACTGCCAAGGAGCTGGATTCGAACAACAAGGACCTTACAGAAGAACTGGAGAAGCTGAGGCAAGCAGAGAGATCACAGAAGCAGCACATTGACAGGTGCATGCTGTTTTGTTTAATGGCCGTATTTGCTAAGAGTGCATGTTTCATAATGTTGGGCTCAATTGTCTTGTTATTTATGAAAGTGATACATTGCATTTGTTGCTACTGTAGGTTGGAAAAGAAAATAGCTATGACCAATGAAGCATGGGAAAAGAAGTTTGAAATTCTCAGACAGAGGTACAGACTAATAATTATGAAAATGTCCATCAACTGTATCTAAGTGCACAGTGTGCATGTCTGAAGTTTTCCAAACCATGCTAACTTTGTTACACTACAGTTTTCATGCCATCAAGGACGAAATGTTCCTGCGGCAGAGCCTGCAGCGCCAGGCCGCATCGCTGCACCAAGCCTCAGTCAACTACGCTGTGAGTCCTCCCGTCTTCCAGTGTCTACATAGTTTTCTTGCTTTTTCTGTCTGAACTCTAAAAAAGAAACGACTCAATTACCAAGAATTACTTTAAAAACCTAAATTGAGAAATTGCATTTGACCTTAAACTTAAATGCTTTTTCATGACAGGCTACTGATTTAACTCCTCGCCAAGAGGCCAGGGGCACTATCATTACTACTGTTAAAATCTCTACAAATGAAATCTGCACCTGTAGCTTGTTACATGCAAAAAACACTCACATCAGAGGTTAACCCAGATCAGACTTTAACAGGTGCATGGCTATTAGGCCTCTCCATTGGGGCCTCAATTGCTGATGGCTGATGAATATGCATAGGTTTGGGCTTGGCTTGTTTTTGTGATGCCCTGTACTCCACAGTGCATTGTGTGCTGGAGAAGAGAATACGTCCTTCATCACCTTATTCCCTCAGGGCAGAAGCACTACCCTATGTCACTACTTACACAAATGTAGAACAAGTAAACGAGCCAACAGCTCTGATTAGAGTATTGAATGGTGTGAATCCAGAAACCAGTCTTTGATTTGTCTAGAGCTTTAATTAGGTATGAAATTTTGATCTAAACCTGAAAATATCCCTAGAACGTTATGCATGAGTGTGACCCAAACCACAGCACAAAATTTTGAATCTGATCACAACTGTTACCTTATACAATTTTGTCTGCAACCAGAGCTAAGCTTGTAGAATTCTGTTCAAATCTGTTTGAAATCAACTGCAACCTAACAAAATCCTGTCCTAACATGTAGCCTAAAAATTCTTTCTGCTTCTGAATGTTATCTGACAAAATTCTGTCTGAATTTGAGTGTACCCTGACAAAATTTTGTCTATGTTGAACTGTAGCCCAACAAAATTCTGTCTGATCTCAGTTGTGTCCTGACAAAGTTCTGTCTGAACCCAACTTTAGCCTGCCCAGGTCTGTCTAAACTCGACCATAGCCCGCAAAATTCTGAATGTGACTGTACATGAAAGAAATATGAAAAAAAGTGACTGTAGTCTGACAAAATTTGGTCCAAATCTGACTGTAGTCTGACAAACTTCTGCCTGAACTTGACTATATTCTGACAAAATTCAATCCCAGCATGACTGTAGACTAAAAAACATCTGTCCCAACATGACTATAACTTAAAAACATTGTATGCCTCTGAATGTAGCCTGACAAAATTGTGACCTACCAAGTTCTGTCTAAGCCCAGCTTTAGCCCACTAGAGTCTGTCTAGACTCAACGATGGCCCAACAATATTCTGTCTAAACATGACTATAGCCCAGCAAAATTCTGTCCAGTCTCAAATGTAGCCCAACAAATTTTTTTCTGGTCTTGATTGTAGCCCAGCAAAATTCTGCCTGATCTCAAGTGTAGCTCAGCAAAATTCTGTCTGATCTCGACTATAGCCCAGCAAAATTCTGTTTGAAGTCAACTGTAGCCCAACAAAATTGTGTTCAAGCCCGACGATAGCCTGGCAAAATTCTGTGTAAACTTGACTGTAACTCTGTAAAATTTTGATGGTAGCCATATATAGCCAAGACAAAATTCTGTCTGATCCAAATGCTAGCCGTACAACATGCTGTCTGGTCCCATCTGTAGTGTCACAAATTCTGAAAACTCAACTTTAGCCCAACAAAATTCTGTATGAACCAAACTGTATCTCAGCAAAATTCTGTGCTCCCAAATGTAGCCTCACAAATTTCTGTCTGAAACTGACTGTAGCCCCTAAAATTTTGTCCTGACCATCACCAAATATAATCAATAGTTTTTAAGGTACAGCCTTTGTATCTTCTATTCAATACTTACTTTAAATTCCACTTTAAAACCCCCTAACATGACCTGGACTCCCTGGTGGGTTCAAACTTTTATAACACACCTTTGTATCTTAACAATAACTCCAAAATTATATATTACCAAATATTTATAATATGTTAAGTACAATGCAAGTGACTCAAACATGGCAGATTTTTTAATCTGTCTATCTGTAGAGTCTAAAAGGAAAAAAAAGCAAGGTAGAGTAAAGTTACAAGAAAAACTAGAGCAGGTGTAAATGCAGGCCCAAATCCATGAAATTAAATTTGAATTTGATTTGGACCCAGTAAAGATTTTGTTGTAAGTTTCTGTAAATTATGTGAAAGCTCGATATGGACAAATATTTCAAGCTTTAATATCTCCTCAAAGTGTGTTTAGAACTGTCTCAGATTTGTCTTGCAGATGAAGGCTCCTGTCTCACACCAAGGCCAGAATCCAGAAGAAGCTAGTTTTAGTAGGACTTGTTTCTCCACTAAGACCCCTCTGGTGAGAGCCTGCCCAAATATTACTGATCCAACCCTGTGTGTCCAGACAGAAGTGTAAGTGCAATATATCTGTCTTGCTATAGCCTTCCATAGGTGCACGAGAAATGCAGACAGTCAGGCTCAAGACAGTGACCATCCACCTGCCAAGTGGACAGACAGACCCCTTCTCAGCTTCAGGCTTGTATCAGCTCCACCAGTCATATTTGGAAGAGGGGAGGGAATGAGATTCGTACCTTCACTTTAGCCCTTGATACTTGTATTTATACAAAGTATTAATACTGACATCCATGCTTCACCCATAAATGTGTTATTAAACGTTGGCAAAAATCCCATTTAACCTAAGACTGGAGTATTCAATTCCTCCTCTCTGCTCAAACAAACATATAATATACCAGGCAAAAGGTGAACATATTGGACCTTTTAGGCTGTTTAGACATCCCCACTGGACGTTTTAGGTCCCAATAAGAGGATGTCCTGGACAATGGTCACCCTAGTACAACCCCATTTCCAAAAAAGTTGAGATGCTGTGCAAAATATAAATAAAAACGAAATGCAATGATATGTAAATCATTTAAACCCTACATCTTATTGAAAGTAGTACAAAGACAACATGTCAAATGTTGAAACTGAGAAATTTTATTGTTTTTTGAAAAAGTCAAAAAAGTCTTTCAGGCAGAGAAGATGAGAAGGGAGAATGCACGATCAAATAGTGCAACAATTCAAGAATAATGATTCTGAATATAAAACAGCAAAGAACTTTTGCTTTTCATCATCTACGGTACATAATAACATTAAAAGATTATATATATGTTTTGGCAACATACGCTGCCATCCGGACAACGTCTTTTTCAGGGAAGGCCTTGATTATTTTAGCAAGACAATGCCAAACCACATTCTGCATGTATTACAACATTGCTCTATAGTAAAAGAGTCCGGGTGCTAAACTGACCTGCCTGCAGTCCAGACCTGTCACCACTGACAACATTTGGTGCATCTTAATATGAAAAATACAACAAAGGAGACCCCAAACTGATGAGCAGCTAAAATCCTATATCAAACAAGAACAGGAAAACATTTCACTTTCTAAACTACAGCAGTGTCTCCTCAGTTCCCAAACGCTTACAGAGTGTTGTTAAAAGAAGAGCTGATGAGACACAGTGGTAAACAGGCCCCCGTCCCAACTTTATTGGAACATGTTGTTGGCATCAAATTCAAAATGGGCATATATTTAAAAAAAAACAACGAAATTTCTCAGTTTCAACATTTGATATGTTGTCTTTGTAGTATTTTCCTTTAAGAAATATGGTTTACTTGATTTGAATATCATTGCATTCTATTTTTATTTACATTCTGCACAGCGTCCCAACTCTTTTAGAAAAGGGGATGTAATAACAGATCACTCGAACCGCTGTGGCCAAGCAGGTAAATCACCAACCTTTGCTGGATACTGAGAGAATAATGCGAAGTTGTAACTCAGTTGTACGTTTTTGGTACAATAGTGTTAATATTTTTTTTATATACTTATTCTGTATGCGTATGAAAGGTCACACTGTTAGGATGAAGCAGTTTTCTGTATAATTGAGCCAACATTAGTACCGTGGCAAATCTTTTTGTCATTACCAGCTTCCTAGATTCAGTTTACAGGATAATCCAACTTGATAGCATAGCATTTTCAGTTGGAAACACATTGGGCATCATTCACCAAGCGTCCTTAAGAAGAAATTTCGGTAACACTTTCTATGAATGTCACCTTTGTAAGCATCTATAAACGCATTCATAACATGTTATAATGCATGCATAAGACATTATAAACATAGCTATAAATATTTATAAAAATGCATTATACATTATAGCCATGTTTATTATGCATTATGAATTGTTAACATAATACATTATAAGTACTGTTCATAACAAATTATAAGAGCTCATAAGTTGTATTTGTCCGCTCTAAGTAAAGTGAAGCGTACTGTACTAAAGCCTCCTCCAGTGTTAAGAGTGAGGCTTCAAGTTGAAGGATGTACTGAAGGATTTACTGAAACACTAAAACATACACAGTAAAGCACATTACAGGCTTCAAATGTCAGAGTTTAAACTAGTGCTGCATCAGTGTTTTACCCAATGTGTGAAAGGTAATGTTCACCACCGTTAGCTTGGTATTTGTCTTTACTTTACTTTACGCTCTCCAAGCTGGGACTGACTTCTTTGGCACTGACATTATAACATGTTATTAACACTATTTATAATGCATTATATTAACAATTCATAATGTATAATAAACATGGCTATAAAGTGTAAATCAGTGTAATTCTTTTATATATATATATATATAAATGTGTTTATAGATGCTTACAAAGGTGACATTCATAGAAAGTGTTACCGAAATTTCTTCTTAAAACCCACTTACGCAGTTTTCATGAAGATTCTGTCATTCACCAATGTTTTCTTATTTAAGATTTGTTCTTAGGTAAGAACAGAATTTACACACACTCAAGAGCACAAAGGTGAGAACAGTTCTGTGGTTTATCATGAATCTGACCTAGACTTTTTCTTAGGACCTTTCTGAAGAACAAATTTAAGAAAAAACTTAGGAAGATACTGAAGAATGAGGTCAATGCCTATATAGCGACACTAAACAAAGATTGCTACATTTTGTCATTAGGTTGAAAGGGTTTTCAGCGTTCTGCAAAGCTTGTCCAACCTGGCGACTGTTCCCTTATTCCATGCTAGCTTTCATTCATTGTTAGCATTATTAGTGTTTTAGATGTCATATTCCCTTAACAGCTGTATCTGTACCGGAAGCTAACATTCTTGAAGGATTCTTTCCACTAAAGATGCCATTCAGGCTGAATAACTTTCACTTAAGGCTTAGGATATTAACACTGACATTAGCTCAGATCTTTCTCTTAGCTACTAAACATTAGGGGTCTGGTATAAGAGGAAAAATTGGCCTACTTTAGCTCCCGTTAATCTCTCTTTTGCCTGTTATTGACTTTTTGATAATTGGGATCTGGGCTAATGAGCTTAGCAGACAGGACTGGGTGAGATAACTGGACAGCTTAATTCCTTCTGTCAATACAGAAGCTCTCAGGCAGGAATGGCTGATGCATAGAAGCTAACAAATTAATCTGCTAGATTACACCGCTGTCCTGTCTGCAGATTCGGGCTGCCCAATAATCAGAGACAATAGACAAGTGTCCTTTTCCCTGCGTCTGTGCACTTGACTTGTTTTCTAGGTAAAGTGCAGTTTATTTTCTACAAACAAGAGCAGAGATTGTGCACTTTCTTGCTTTTTCTAAGCAAATAATCAAAAAAAGGATTAAAAAAAATGCTTTAATTGGCTGTATTTAATGTTTCTTTTGTATGTAGAAGGCAGTTTATTTTGTACAAGTGCCAAGTGCACTTTCTTAATTTTTTACAAAGCAATCAGACATTTATGGTAAAATTGATATATCTGCCTTGTAAATGTGGAGACATTTTATATTTGACCACATAAAAATGGTGCATACAAAATCTATACAATAGCATGACATTAGTAATCCTGCATTAATATTTTTTATTATTTTGCATATTTTATATCCTTTCAGGCTGAATTAGCCATTGCTCTCCCAGGGCTTTGCTAATGTTTATATGGGTGAGGTTTTTTGTTAGCATTGCTTGTTGTTTTGATACCAAAACAACTAGCACGCCAACAGCTACGTCTTATCATTGCCTTCAACTGTTTAACTTTGTTTAGCTGTGTGCTCTTCTGCGGTGGGCCTCTAATGTGAAGTGTTAGAGGGGAACAGCAGGGCTGACAGGCAGCATGCCTGAGGACAAGGGTGAAAGTATGGGGTGAGCAGCCACTGGTCAGCAGCCGCGGGAGCCTGGCCAGTGACCCTTTACACCACTCCGCCAGCCCTTGACTCAACCATGGGAACACAGCCCATACATCACCACTGACACCTCGTAATTGAGACACTGAGATAAGACAGCAGTGCAGGGCCTGACGTTCGGACAGAGTGGACAAACGCTGGTGTCACACAGCAGATTACGTTTATTCAGTGGGTCACTCTAATCTAAGGTGGCCTGAATGATTCTGTCTTTTTAGTGCTCGCCCACCCTTATTTAGATTACTCAGTAGTGGCCGGTCTTTTAAAGAAATAGCTCGAACAAACAAGCTAACATTGTTAGGGACAAATGGGAAGCAGTAGCCACCAATCAACATTTTCCTTATGCTAATTTGTGACTTTTTTTAATTGTTTGCAACTTTGGTTTTACATTTTCAGCTATTCCTTAAAGTTATAAAGCTGAAACACACAAAGTGTGAGGTTAGAATCATTTTGTCAGCATGAGAGCAGTTAGCTTGGAATTTTTTACTTTTTATCTGAATACACATAAAAGATCTTTTTAGCAAATTTAACAGCTAATGGAATTAAATAGCCTGATTAAGTGTCATGCAATAAATGCATTATTTACACATTTGTTTTTTGCATTTATGAAGTATTAAAACATTGAAGACATGGCGAAAATGTCTCAAAGCCAGTAAAATGTTTGAAGCAGACTGTGTTCCTGCTATTTAACTGTCACTTTAACCAGCGAATTCGCTTTTATTGGACCAGCGCTGAAAGCTACAAAAGTCACTCCGCAAATGATCAAAAGAAGGGAGAAAAAAGTGCTTGGACACACAACCATAAATTTTGTTCTTTTTTTTTTCTCCCCCCTCCATGAATACGTCTGGCCCATATGCTTGGCCACAGAGCGAAGTGAAAGGGGCATTTACAAACCCAGGCCCACCACATTAAACTCTATAACAATCTTCATTCATGGTAACTTATCAGACTCAATTAATCAACCTCAACAATGGCAATTCTGATGTGTTCAAGCACCCTGAAAGGCCTAGGTCAGCACTGGGGCAGTGGCGGCCCAAGCTCACCCCTCCACTCTCAAAACTCGTCCTTTTTGCCCCCCATCCCAGACGGAGACTCTATCTGTTAACTCCAGTCTTCAAGGCCACACCAAAAAGTAGGAGTAACGTGAAAGAGCACAGAAAACAAACAACTTTTTTTCTGATCATAAAGAGCTTTCTTTTGCGTCCCTCAAAGGCTACAAAGCTGTTCCAGTGGATGAAAGCCATTCTCTCAGTCAGTCTGAATGGAGCATGTCTTAGCTGCCGTGTTGTGAATGGTATTGTTATGGCTATTCCGCCGGCCTGAAAAGGGGCAACCACTGGTTTGATTCGGTTACACGGTGGGCTTAGCTTCTCCCTCCCACCGCCTTGGTGTGTATGGAGGGTCCGTGACCTGTTTACTCTCCGCCGGGGAAAATGTCATGTTGCCCCTCCCATGGGCAGTGCTCACATTCATTTGATTGGTACAAAAAAATGACTTGGGATGGTTAAAAACACACTCATCCTGCATCGCAATTTATAGGTCCTATCTTTCATACGTTTACGTGACACTGTTTTCCACTTTAGGACATTTTATGGGCTTTGCTGTTTTCACTGTAACATTTTTGGGATTAGTATGACCTGTATTTATGTTTTCAAACCTAGTAACCTTTTTATGTACTTCATTTTTTAATTGCAGAAGCGAGTGAAGGTGACAGTGATGAGGAATCAACCAAGATCCTGCCTCTCCCGCCTCCTCCAAACAGACCGACCCCATCTAACACAACATTTCAAGTACAAAGCAAATAATTTTCTCATATAAACTTCAAAACAGAAATAAAATGACCACTGAACACGCATTGACCTGATGCTTACATTGTACAGGCACTGGCCCAATACTTACATTGTACAGGCATTGGCCCAGTGCTTACATTGTATAGGCATTTGTCCAGTGCTTACATTGTACAGTCATTGGCCCGATGCTTGCATTGTACAGGCCCAGTGCTTACACTGTACAGGCACAGGCCCAATGCTTACATTTTACAGGCATTTGTCCAGTGCTTACATCGTATAGGCATTGGCCTGATTCTTTCATTGTACAGGCATTGGCCTGATGCTTACATTGAACAGGCGTTGGCCCGATGCTGATGTTGTACAGGCATTGGCCCACTGCATACATTGTATAGGCATTGGCCCAATGCTTTCATTGTACCAGCACTGGCCCGGTGTTTACTTTACACAGCCATTGGCCAGATGCTTACATTGTGCAGGCTTTGGCCCGATGTGCGGGTTGAACATTACACTTACAAAAGTAACATGTTAAATTACTTGAGTTATATAACTCATGTTAAAATAAACTTAGTATATCTTTGAATACATGTTCTATTATATCCCTTCATGTTCTAAGATACAGTTGTATGCATAAGTTGAAACACTCCTGGTCAAGTTATTATTATTGTTTATTGATTTGTTAATTTTCTATGTGAATCCTCTACAGGAAACTAGCCTAAATGTTTTTTTTTCTGCAAGTTTAGTTTATTTCTACACAGTTTCTATTTATTTGATGCATTTTACATATTGAAAAAAATAAACTTTTGCACAGGCCACGTTTTATGCTTTAGATGTTTCTTCCAAATTCAATTCAATTCGTTCAATTTAACATAAGGAACCTTTTGGAAATTGTTCTGTATAGTCCCAAAAATGGGTTCTTCTGTTGTTACAAGCTTGACATCATAACAATAGAAGAACCCTTTTTGATGCTAGATAGAACCATTTTCAAAAAGGTTACAACACACTGTCCATCACTCTGCAGAACCATTTCACCATGCAAAGAACCATTTAAGCATGAAATGCTTCTATACAGAACTCATGGTTCTAAATAAAACCATTGACTTTACTGAAGAACCTTTGAATAACCATCTTTTTTAAGAGCAAGTACTGTAGTAATTATGCATTATGCATAAAACATATCATAGGCATCTAAACCTTTGCTCGACTGTACGCTATAGGAAACAAATGTAATAACGTAAACATTATAGCATTGCTACTATAAGACCATTTCTCAGTTTAAATATTCGTCAGATCTGTGAATTTTCGCAGTCTTTGAATTGTAACATATATGAATGTACACAGTCATCAGTGCTTTATCCTTTTATTGACCTCAGTTTTCCACATTTCCAACACGAAACTCCATCAAGCTGAGTTTGAGGACAGGCTTTAAACCTACCCAGACACACAAGCCTTAAATAATCCTTTGAAAGGTATTCATTAGATGTTTTTTTCTCTCTCCTCCCACTTCACAGAGTTCCCATAATGTGTAAACAAAGCCTGTGGTGACTTTAACTGGCTTTAATTGACTCCGGCGTGAATGGCTGTAATCCACCGCGCTCCTGAAGGCCGACACACGAGGAACTGTATGTGCTCTGTGGCCAACGCGTGGAGCCGTCCAAGAATGTTCTTTAGCTTTGCACATGCTTCACGCTGCACAAAACCCGGCGGAATGCGAGGCTTTGGACAGGATGTGAATGGCCGAGAAGCTGAACAATAAGAGCTGATCCATTTCAGCCTCTGTACGCCTTCACAGCGGTGTGTGGGATAATCCTCTTTATACGTGTAAGATACATTTCCACTGCAATAGAGACATTACAGACGTTATTAACATCATCACAGAGACCATTCTGCATGAGTGAGCTCAAACATAGAGTTTTTACACCAGTCCCATCACTGACATCTACCTACACTTTTGAAAGAACATCTTAAATGTAGGCAGTTTATCACTATGAGAAAATTATTACTACACATTACTACAAATTTTTACTTACATAAAGTAATTTTCTAAAGTGAAATGATCTTTCTAGATCATTTATTACTTAAGCATTACTTCCTACAACAAGCAAAATGATCTGCTAGGTTAATAGCTAAGATCATTTTTTGACTTGACTTAAAACCAGTATGTGTTGAATGTCTCGAAAGAGGTTAAATATCTTATTATAATCTTACAACATGCTTATAATGGGCAATATGAGATATATTGCCTACTTTGAAGATGCTTTCACTTGTCAGAATGTCATTTTTGCATGTGTACTAAAGCGTATCGTGGAAAACATTTTCAATGACTTTACCTTTCTTTTTTAAAATCATTTGATGTCATATGTAAACATTGTTACAAGTTCAAAACACGCACTCTCCAGTCCACACAGTGTGCATTAAAAAAAAGCTCATTTTGAATTCAATGTTTTTTGATGATGTCACAAAAACCAACACATTTATAAATACTTCTGTTCAGCCTGAAGCAGTTTAGCCCAGCCCATTAATTCTGAAGTTGTAAGGAGTGTTTCAACCTGGAAAGTTTTTTTGAACGAGGCACAATACAGGGCAGCCAATAAGAACAGAGCTCATTTACACGTATCAGTCTTATAGGCACAACAGCAGCAACAGCCTATTTAAACCTAAGGGATTAAGAGAGGTTGGTAAACGGATGTAATAATGCACTGTGTCTTATTTGGTTCATAAACACCCAAACATTATAAGAGCCCCACTATTCACTTCATTGATCTGCCTATATATATATACAGAATGTAAACCGAGATAAAATTACACAGCAAAGTGAAATTTAAAATCAACATGTACACATTTGAGGCTGGAACAGTTTTGCAGTAGGACCCAGTTTAACACTGGAACATTCGTGATGATGGTGTTCATGCTCCAATGAGCCTGCTTGAGTTGCCCCTCAGTAACAAACCCCTGTGGTGCTGTACTCCAAACGCTGTTTCCATCACAGACAAGCTTAGAATCAATTACCAATTCCTTCTTTAAGCCAGTGTCATTTCAGATGGATGCTTATTGGGTTATGGCGAGCTCCAATCACTGTGCCATGGCCCTTTCTCTCTGGGATTATGTGATTATGCTGTAATTCCTTGTAATCTTCTATTAACTGGCATCAGAGTCAATACATCTGTCTTCAGTTCTGCTGTATTACTGAGCCGTCCACTACGGGTTTACATCTGTAGAAAGGCTGTCATTATCTAAATTAAAAATCGAGTAATCAGAGGTTATAAAGGGGCAAAATAACAAATTATATATATATATATATATATATATATATATATATATATATATATATATATATATATATATGCATGCTAAAGTTTGGACACCCTGTGTCAAATGACATGTTTTGATGTTTTGTTGATTTCCTAAGTGGAAATACAAACTACACAACTATTTTCACTTATTGTCAATTTGAATGCATAATTTCCGTTTTGTTTTTTTGTTTTTTTTGTGTTTAACAAATTGGAAAACGTATACAATACAAGATGTGCCATAACTTTTGCATAGGCCATGATTTATGTCTTATTCCCAATCAATATGTTACATTCAGCAAATAAACAGTAATTGTGCGTTAAAAATGTGCAGAAGTTAGAAAATCAGAAGCATTTGTCATTTGACCGAGGGTGCCAAAACTTTTGCACGGTTCTATCCAAAATGGTCTCCAAAATAGTTTTAAAAAAAGCTTTACAGGAGAAAGAAAAATAGGAGAGGGGAAAACTTTCCTAATGGAAGTCAGTTATTAACTAAGTAATCGTTTTACTGGTCCATTCATCACAAAATGCTGACACAATATGAAAGACTGCTTCTCAAAACATGCCAAAAATAATAACAACACTATGCAGTGCATACAATGATGGTCTAGCAGTGGGAGTATTTAACATGTGTCTAATTGCAATGCAAATCAACAACGATTCATTACCGATTCTTTGCGAATGTACGTTTTAATCGATGATTTCTCAGTCGAGTAATCGGCACAGCCCCAGTCTCTAGCGAGCCTTTTTCTGCCTGTGAGTGGACGGTCAGGTGGTCTTGATTGATACCAGTAACCTTAAACGCTCTCAGAAGGGGGGAATCCACTAAACACACACATTCCCTCTTTCACGACACCGCGCGCTTCAGCCACACTGTTGTAAAACAACGCGAGAAAACGGGAATTTTCTTGTAGGACTCCAGAAATTAATTAGTTTCATTAGTTCGGGGATAAATGGCGATGGCTGGTGTGTTGGATTCCAGCAGAGTTTCACCATAGAGGGTTAATGGGAGTCAAGTCTGGAAGCGTTCCCGGCGCTGGCCCAAGGCCATTTCAGCCAATCACGCCAAACTTATGGTCAGCTCGCGCTGGGCCGCTCTTTTAGCAGCCTTCAGTCTTGCCTTTTTTGCTATAGATTACATTCAAAGCCGCCGGGACAATGAGTACAAACTCTTGAGAGTTTTGCACACCGGCTGGGTTACCCGGGGCACAGAACATACTGAAAAAATGAAGTTAAGGAGGGGCACTTTGGGAAGTTTTGCAACTTGAAGAAATGCAGGAAAGGCGTGTTAATCTGCAGCACTGTTGGTCTAAAAGTACGAATTTTAAAAATACTTGAATTATTGAAGTTGTTATTGTGTTTTTTCTGGAAACAGCTGTAAATGTACAGAATAAGCTGTAAAATCTCGTTATATTGCAGTTATTACAGAAAATACTGAAAAAAATGAAGTTAAGGAGGGGCACTTTGGGAAGTTTTGCAACTTGAAGAAATGCAGGAAAGGCACATTGATCTGCAGCACTGTTGGTCTAAAAGTCTGAATTTTAAAAATTGGATTATTGGAGTTGTTTATTATTGTTTTACACTGTAAAATCTCGTCATATTGCAGTTATTACAGAAAATACTGAAAAAAAAATGAAGGTAAGGAGGGGCACTTTGGGAAGTTTTGCAACTTGAAGAAATGCAGGAAAGGCGTGTTAATCTGTAGCACTGTTGGTCTAAAAGTACGAATTTAAAAATACTTGAAGTATTGGAGTTGTTTATTATTGTTATTGTGTTTTTTTCTGGAAAACAGCTGTAAATTTACAGAATAAGCTGTAAATCTCGTTATATTGCAGTTATTACAGAAAATACTGAAAAAATGAAGTTAAGGAGGGGCACTTTGGGAAGTTTTGCAACTCTTGTAGTTGAAGTAAATGTGCGTGATAATCCGCAGCGCCTGGACAGTATAAATTTAGAAAAAAATACTTGATTTATTGAAGTTGTTCATTATTATTATTGTGTTTTTTTTCTGGAAAACAGCTGTAAATTTACAGAATAAGCTGCAAAATCTTGACAATATTCAGTTGTTATGGAATTATCTGACGATTTTTTGAAATATGCAGTTTTTAACGTGCAAAATGTTGTTGATTTACAACAAAAACAGCTTTTAGAAATAAAAGCTGATTCATGTTCTGGACATATTTGCCCCATTCACGCTGAAGAACGGTTCTGCAATTGTGTAAATGTTACGCCTTTTTATATTCACTACATTCAGCTGCTGTCAAGAAGCGGGACAAAAGCTTTTATTTTATTAATGACATAAAAGCTGAATTTTTCAAACTTTAATTGAAATGGAGCATCTCTCACTCTCTCCCAGTCTCTCTCTCCGCCTCTCAGTCCCTCTCCCTCTCTCTCTCTCTCCCTCTCTCTCTCTCTCTCTCTCTCTCTCTCTCTCTCTCTCTCTCTCTCTGTGTGGCTGGACGTACAGCTGCATTTGTATTGCAAATCCCATCCCATGCTGGGAAACGCTTCGAAAAGGAAAAGGATCAGTGGGGCAGCAGTGAAGTTCATGTCAATGAACAAGCGGACGGCCTGTTTCATACATTCACTGCTTTGTGAATATTAAAACGAGACTTGGTGAAAAATGACGCATGCTTTGAAAAACTGTAGAGCCCTGGCAACTGCAGAAAGAGTCGAGCGCGAGAGAAAGAGCGCCTTCTTGAAAGTCCATTCTGCGGAACAAAAGCGCGCGGAGCCGCTGAGCGGAGCCGCTGTGTCCGAAAAAACACATGAGGGCCATCGCGGAACCATATTGTATCGAAATGGTTTAGCAGGGCAGCGCAGGAGGGGGGAGCCGGGCCTCATTCACCTCGCACCGCTCACACTCACACGCGCTCGCGCGCATTAGCATATTTCTAATTTATCACATTTTTGTTCGCCTTTTCAAGGTAAAAAGCGCGCTGGAGCGATCTGTTTACGCAGAGTCCCGTGGAAAGAAGCTATTTTATTTCTGGTAAAAGCCATTTAGAAAAGCGTTTTGGAAATATAGAATATTTTTTCATTAATTTGTTTATTTAGCTGATATATTTATTTACAAGGGAAAAAAAAAAACAAAAAAAAACACCTGTTAGATTCCCACGCACCACAAATGGGTCTGTAAGCAATGATAAGAACCACTTATGGTTTATTAAAGAACCATTTTTTATAGATGTCATAGTGTAAAGAACCTCGCGTCATGTAAAGATGCTTTACCGTTTTAAGGGCTTTTGCTTTGCGTGAGGTTCTTATGAATAAAATAATAATACAAACAATAAATAAAATAAGTAAATAAAAACTTCAATAAGCAGTTTTTCCAAGGAACCATCCACTGAAAGGTTCTTCAGGGGAACAAATATGGGTTCTTCCATGGCACTGCGCAAACAACCACTTTTGGCACCTTTAAGAATTACGCACATTTAAACTCACCCACGTTCCTCATATCCACCAAAGCCTCCTTGCTTAAAGGGAAATTCCACCGACTTTTCAAAAAAATTTTTGCACAATTCAGCTGTTTCGATGTGATCAAAGT